AATAAAGCAGCAAGATTAATTATTTATTTAAATTAAATATATTTAATAATTTAGAATAATAAATAATAAATAATTATAAAATATAAAATTTAATTTTAAAAATTCTATTTATTATAAATTATAGAGATCTAAAAAAAATAATAATTAAAAAAGATTTATCTTAAAAAAATAAATAAATATTTATAATAATTTTTTACTTAGTATCTAACTAATTATTTACTTAAATATAATTAATAATAATTTCTTTTTATAATTCTTATAAAGATAATAATTTATAGAACTAATTTCTAAGTTTTTAATTCTTAGATATTATAAGATATAAATATATATAATATAATAAATATAAAATATTTTATTAAAAAATAATATATCTTTTTAAAAGCTGTTTTATATTATTAATAATATTTTTTAATTAAAATAAAATAATAGTTTTTTAGTTTTTATATAATCTTTAGAAAAGATTATTTTTTATTACTAATTCTAAAAAATAAAGAGCTTTTTTTAAAAAACTAAATATAAAATAATTTTCTGATTTTTTATAATATATATAATCTTAAGATTTAAAAAAAAAATCTGATTTAAGAAGCTTATCTTAATTTAGATATTATTATAATTTATAAAAGTCTAAGAAATAAAAAAAGAAAATTTAATAATATTCTCTAAAAATAAATCAGATAACTATAATTAATTTATAATTTTAAAACTATTTTATAAATAATAAATATAAAAAGATAGAAGTAGAAAACTCTATAAAAATAATTTATTTTATTTTAAAATATAATTTTATATAAATATAATCTATTATATTTTAATATATAATTAAAGCGCCTGCTGTATCTTATTTACTTTAATAAATTTAATAAATAAAAATTTATATCTAAAATTTAAAATTATAAAATAATCTCTTTTCTTAAATAGAGCTGCTTAAGATATAATAAATTAAAATAAAAAATAAATATTTATAAAAAAAATTTATAAAATATTTTTATAAAATCTTCTATAAAAATTATAATATTATAATATAGATTTAATATACTTTATTTATTTATTCTATTTATTTAATTTATTTAATCTATTTAATCTATTTAATTTATTTAATTTATTTTATTCTAATAATCTGATTATCTGTAATCTTTTTAATTATTTATTAATTTCTAATTTTATTAATAGCTCTTTAAGCTATATCTTATTTATAAATCTAAGAATAATCTAATTTAAAAAAAATAATAAAATAAAAGCAGTATATTTATTCTTAATATTTTAATTAATAATTAATATATAATTTTTCTAGTATTTTATAATATAATTAAAATATATAGCTAAAATAGAGTAATAATTATATATTTTTATATATATTTCTTATTATAAAGATAATAATTTTATAAAAAGCTGAATTTTATTAATATAACTAGAATTTTCTTATTATTTTTAATAAATAATAATAATAAAAATACTAATTTCTTTTTAATTATATTTTTTTAATTTAAAAAGCTTTTTTTTATATATTTTTAGATAATAATAAAGATAGTTAGATTAATAATTATTTAATCTAGATATATCTTAATTATATTAAAGCTTAAAAAGATATAGCAGATAGATCTTAGTATTAAAAATAATTAAAATAATTAATTATCTAATTTTTAGTTATACTGTAGTCAGATATAAAAATTTTCTTAATCTAATTATAATCTAATAATTAGATATAAAAATTCTAATTAATCTGATCTGACCTGGCTGTTAGCCACTCTATATATATATAAAAAAAGAAAATTATTATTATAGAATTTTTATATAAATTTTTTAAATCTTAAAGACTTAGTAATATCTGTATAAATATTTTATTTAATATACTATAATTAAATAAAGCAAGAGATAGTACTATAGAAAAAGAGATAAAAGAATATAATTTAGATATTCTAGAGTGGCTTAATCTGACTGTTATATCTTAACCTTAACCTGGCCATAATCTGATAGTCAGATTAAAATATAAAAACTTTTTAACTATATAATTAAGATTAGATTAAGATATAATTATTATTATAATTATTTATATCTATTAATCAGAAAAATTAGATATAGTAGATAAATTAATAACTATAAATTAATTTATAATATATATATTCTTCTTATATAAATAATATATAAAGTATAATATATATTTAATTATAGTATAAATATAATAATATTTTTTAGATATAGTCTACTACTTAATTTATTTAATTAATTATTTTAAGAAATATACTATATTCTGAAAAAGATTTTTATAAAATTTAATATAAAAAAAATAAAAAAAATATAAAATATTTATTCTTTATACTATTCAGAATAATAATTATAATAATATAAAAATTATAAAAATCAGATCTCTATCTCTATCTAAGTATATATAATAATTAAAGACTTAGATAAGACTAGTTTTTTTAATTTTAATAATAATCTATTCTTTACATTATCTTTAAAATTATTTATATTCTTATTCTTACTAATATAAAAAATAATAATTATTTTATTCTTCTTTTATTTCTTAAATATAAAAATAATTAAATCTAAATTAAGATTATTAAGTATATTCTGATACTTTTTATTTATAATAAAATAATTAATATATATTTAAAGTACAACTGCTTTAATTATATTAAAATTAAAATAATTTTAGTAATAATAGTAGATATCTTAAGAATTATTAAAAAAATATTTAATATTAATATTATTAATTATAATTAAGAAAAAATCTTTAATTATTTAATAAAAAATAGAAAACTAATCACAGCAGAACTTTTAGTAAATAAGAATATTAATATATTTTATAATATTTAAAATTATATTAATTTAATTAAAGATATCTTAAGAAGCTATATATCTTTAATATCTAGATATATCTTAAGTTTTTTATATATCTTAATAAGAGTTAAATATAAGATAATCTTTTAATTCTTCGCGACGTATGTAATCTTAAGATTTAGAAAAGAAGAAAAGATCTGATTTAAGAAGCTTATTTTAGTTTAAATATTATTATAATTTATAAAGATCTAAGAAATAGAAGAAGAAGATTTAATAATATTTTTTAAAAATAAATTAAATAATTATAATTAATTTATAATTCTAAAGCTATTTTATAAATAATAAATATAAAAAAATAAAAATAGAAAACTCTGTAAAGATAATTTATTTTATTTTAAAATATAATTTTATATAAATATAATTTATTATATTTTAATATATAGCTAAAATATCTACTATATTTTATTTATTTTAATAAATTTAATAATTAGAAATTTATATCTAGAATCTAGAGTTATAGAATAGTTTCTTTTTTTAAATAAAATTATTTAAAATATAATAGACTAAAATAAAAAATAGATATTTATAAAAAAAATTTATAAAAAATTTTTATAAAATCTTCTATAAGAGCTGTAATATTATAATATAGATTTAATATATTTTATTTATTTATTCTATCTATTTAATTTATTTAATTTATTTAATTTATTTAATCTATTTAATCTGCTTTATTTTAATAATCTAATTATTTATAATCTTTTTAATTATTTATTAGTTTCTAATTTTATTAATAGCTTTTTAAGCTATATTTTATTTATAAATCTAAGAATAATTTAATTCAGAAAAAATAATAAAATAAAAATAGTATATTTATTTCTAGTATTTTAATTAATAATTAATATATAGTTTTTCTAATATTTTATAATATAATTAAAATATATAATTAAAATAAAGTAATAATTATATATTTTTATATATATTTTTTATTATAAGAATAATAATTTTATAAAAAGCTGAATTTTATTAATATAACTAGAATTTTCTTATTATTTCTAATAAATAATAATAAAGAAGATACTAATTTTTTTTTAATTATATTTTTTTAATTTAAAAAGCTTCTTTTTATATATTTTTAGATAATAATAAAAATAGTCAGATTAATAATTATTTAATCTAAATATATCTTAATTATACTAGAGCTTAAAAAGATATAGTAGATAGATCTTAATATTAAGAATAATTAAGATAATTAATTATCTAATTTTTAATTATATTATAATCAGATATAAAAATTTTCTTAATCTAATTATAATCTGATGATTAGATATAAAAATTCTAATTAATCTGATCTGATCTGGCTGTTAGCCACTCTAAGATATTCTTAGTTTTTTTCTTTTTTTTTCTTTATTAATTCCTTCTGTATTAATAGTTAAGTATTGGATTAGTTTAATTTAATCATTCCCCTAATAAGTATAATTTCATTATATTATTAAAATTAATTTTTAGTATCTCTGGATTATAAGTCTATTTTTTATTAATATTTATAATTTAAATATATTTCTTTTTATACTCAGAATATGTTTTAAATTGTTTAGAAAATTATTTTTTACTAATTATAAAAATTAGAGTAATTAAATCTATATAAATCTTCTTAAATATATTATTTATAATTAAAATAATTGTTTTTAATAAAAATATTTTTTATTATTATAAGAAACTTTTTTCTCTAATCTAATATAAAGTCTGAATATTAATATCTTATATTTTTATATAAATTATATAATATTAGATTTATAAATATATTTTAATATATAAATAATCTGCTAAATTTAATTCTTAATTTTATAATAATTTATAAATATTATAATAGCTTTAAAAGATATAACTTAATAAAATAAATAATTTTTTAAAGAAGATAATATTAATATATTAACTCTGTTAAAATATTGGGGTTGCCCTACAGGCAATCTCGGAGCGGTAAGCCGCGTAGGGGTCGGTTAAGGCACAGAGTAGTACTCCGTACGCCTTAAGTATAACTAAGTCCTAGTAGTTATGCAAGCCGTCCCGTCCCGCCCCGCCACATTCCCGATGTAGAATGCGGACTAGGGAGGCAAAATGGTCTCATTCTCTTCCTTGACGCTTCCATTATAACGCAGCTGCAACACACACTTACTTTTCTATCTATTGTCAACAGGAGGTTTTCATGTTTTCTGTGGATAATGGGAATGAATGCTGATAAAATAACCGCTATTCATGCTGCACTCCACCTGATATTCCATCGCAATAAAAACCAACATCGAGGGACGAAGTGGTGGAAGTGGCTGTCAATACTGAAACGAACAACTCTGAAGCTCGTGACTTATCTTACTCGCCTGCCGCCGGATACCGATGCCAAACTTCTTAATGATAAACACAGTCAACATTTGGCATCATATATTCTACCAAGATGTTACCTGTAAGTGATCGGAAGGAACGATACTCGAAAACTTCAGAATGCTTCTATTACGGCTATTATAAAGACTAACTTTTCATAGAGCATTCTCCATGGTCGTTGCTGATGGGCAGTTCTCTACTTTGGGAATAGTTCTACTGGCTACGCTAGCTAGACTTGCAAAAGCAGTAGGGTTTGATAAAGAACTGAGGATACCACTCCAAGAATCAATGGCTTCTATCGACACTGCCTTTGGTGCTGAGATCCGGGAGAATGAAGACGTGGGAGAAGTCCTACCTCGACCCCAGGATCCCCTAGCGGCTATGACGCCCTCCACAGAGAAACACTCAATTGACTTAGGTCATCCGATTCGTCAGGAGAGGGCTTCTAAGAAATCAGGGGGTGTTGCAGGCCTGTACATGGCAAAGCATAAGAAGAAAAAGAGGAGAAAGGACGCCATCGATGACCTCTTCGACAGCCTGCTATAGTGGCATTTAGTGGGCGTGCCGGGTATAAATTACAAAGCATAAACACCTGTGATACAAACGCCAGGCCTACGACCCCAAGAGCATGATTATTTATCCGTGGGAATTAAACCTTGCCTCCTGCTAACGTTTCATCCTTTTCCGCTCCTCGCGCTGACCTTCCTTATCGCCACTTTAACTGTCAGTTTATTATGAGAATAAGGTCTCTCCTAAGGTCTCTCCGAGCAAGTTCACAGTCAGGTGGTTGACAATAGCCCAAGCAATAGCATAAAGGTACTTCGGCGAGAAAACCGTCCAGATAAAGAGATGTGTCCTCAAAGCCGTGCACGCTGCCATTACAGACATTGTGGACGTTGCCATGTGGAGTGTGATAATAGCTAAGTAAGCTTTCCTTTCATGCCGGGCCTGCTTTGACCGAAGAACCCGAGCAGCTGATACCCACCAAATTGGCCCCGACCAGTTGCTTACAAATGTTAGAATCCCGACAAGAATGATACTGTAATTACCAATACCATTATAAGCATTGGATAGATCGACAGAAGATATGGCGTTAGAACCCCCAAAGGCGAAAAACGTCATATATTGCGCAAGCAACGAAGTAACAGTTAGCTCAAGGACAGATAGCCTCATCGGAGCAATGATCTTAGCGTGTAGCCTAAAAATGAGAAAAATCGGAATATTTGTAACCCTTGACTGTGTTATCAAGAATAAAGTCAGGGCTTCATGGAAAACGGTGCCTGGGAAATCTATAGTGTTGTCTGTCAGTAGATGTGCAAAAGAAGGGAGCCGATCAAGACCTACCTTCTTCCTTGAATGGTCTTGTACCGCTCTTCCTAGCAATATACACTGATAATGGAACAAGTGAAAGAATGCCACCCATGACAAGCCTTGTGAAAATAATGAGCATTCTTCCGTTGAGAATCCCCCTCAAAGGAGTTAATAGACTCTCATAAAAAAGCTCAGGGGAGTCTGCTGCCACGAAGGCCACTTTCAAGAGGAGAGCAGATGTTGTGACGACGAGACAGCATAGACGCCACATCCTCGATAGATAACGGTCAGTCAGGCGCATACAAGTGCCAGTGTATGTTAGGACGACTAAGAACCATAATACGAGTCTGTGAGAAGGTAAGAACGTCCGAGCGATGTCTGGCTCAGCAGCAAACTTTTGACCTGTCTGGTTCCAGCGCCTCAATACTCGATGAGATACTAAAAGCGCCACTCCGCCATACCTCGCAAGGAGTGGTACATATGAGCGACGGCGTTTGCTCATTCGGTGCTGCCGGGATATGGAACAATGTGAACGCGTAGCTGATTTGATGTGCAGGTAAAAGACCCACGCTGTAAAAATCCAATTCCAAAACTGTTGTTCTTCCTCGACATAACTACTAGCAAACATCATGCCACCGTAGATAAGGATACTCAGCATGAAAAATGCTTCAACATGCCCGGACGTGGAAAGCAAGTTGTAGGCAGTTGGGAAAGAGAGAGCAGTAACCAAGACAATGAGACCCAATCCTAGAACGAGGTTGCCGATATTGTAATTACTCGCCGCGCTGCTCATCAATTTCTGGGAAATTCTCGAAAATTGAAGGAGAGCAGACTCAAGTTCGGCATAAAGGTCATCGTTATCGATACCACCAGAGTCGTGTAGTAACCGAAGAACCCGGAGCCATGAACACTGGGCTTCTTCAATATTGAGTAACGGTTCGACTTCACAATGAATACTGTTCAAATCGGGGTCGAAATTATGACCCGGGAACGCTTCCTTCACTGTCCTTAATAACTGCTTAGAGTTTGCAAGTAATATATGGACTTTTTGAAGATCTAAGCGAGAGATAGAGCATCAGCGACTTGTATATGTATTTCTAGGGCAAGAGTATACATACTCGTGTTCCATACGCCAAGAAGTTCTGGGATGAATACTCCATAGCTATTCAAAGGTATAGGGAAGCCTAGAAGTCCTGCCAGGGTCGGAGTTATGTCTGTTTGCTCGACTGTTCGGTAATATTGGAAGTCGTTGAGCGGGTCCATAGGGGATTCCCTAAATGTTCCTAGGGCTTGAAACTTGGGTGACATAAAAACCAGTGCGGGCGATGTTTCACCCAGAGATGAGCCTCCATGGTTTCCGGCATCATTCATGCCATGGTCACCACACAATACAAAAAGGGTGGATTCTAGATGTTTTTCTTTTTCCATGCTTGTGTAGATCTGGGAGACAACCGAGTCCATTTCGCGATGCTTCTCTGCCATATAAGGACTGATAAAATGTTAGACCGTCCAAAGCAGGAGACTAGTCAAGGTGCTTTACCTCTGGGGACCGGCTTTATGGCCTATGTGATCGAGGCCTAGGTAATGCATGATAAAGGCCGACCAGTCGTCCCGAAGGAGCTCATTAGAGACATGGCGAGTCACATTGTTGTCAACTTCACTGAAGTCCTATGCAAAGCTTGCTCAGTTTCCGTGTTAGAGACACGCCCATAAAATCTGCGAGTCACTACTAACCGAAACAAAGAAGCTGTTAGTTCCATCTTCTCTTTTAAACATTCCAGGAAACAGTTTGAGCCAAGTATCATCCCCATACATGATGAGCTGATCTCCTCTTGTTTTTAACTGTGTTAACCATGTGTCCTGATATAATAAAGTTGACGAAGTGTCAGACTCTGCAATATTAAGAATTACGTCTAAAAATGATGGTATGGAGCCAGTTGTCATAGCTTTCAGACGAGGCATTGTAACAGTTGGTGAACTAGCATAGGCTGTGAATGGAAGTGCGGCTCCTGATCGAATCAGGCTATTGAGTCCAATGTTAGATCAACAACACAAACCTGGGAGCAACTCCAACTGACCTTTGTGTAAAGGAGAATCCTGAATTATTAGAATAGACAAAATCGCTAAGCAATGTTAGTAAGATAAACAAAACCTCACAGGTCGCATACGGCCATACCTCCTCAAAGCATCAACCACCATGAAGATGACTTTGTCAAAGGCTTTGGGCACTGTAGTAATGCTGTCATTGCTGTCAAACTTTGCAAGCCCTGGAATTACTGGCTTGTAAGGGAAGAATCCGGACGAAAACACAACAACAGCTAGAGGTGTCAATAAATTGGCAATTGCTATAGCCCAAGTTCCTGATAGCAATGTCATTTTGAGACTTGAACTAAATGCTAAAGAATAACACCGGCCTTTGATAGACCGAGGTGTAACTGCGATGCCTCAAGTATAGTTCATATAGTGTATTCCACTTGAGTTCAGACGCGATGTTCAACTTTGTTTTACATCATGCAAAGGGGCGGCGGTACGATTGAGTATATTGACCACGCTTACCGCCTTCTTATTCTAAAATCTCGCTGGCACACCACTCCCGGACTCGGTAATTTGCATGCCCAGTATGATTGAATACATTACACTGTTACAATTGCAAAGTGAGGAATACATGTTCATACATGTGTATCTGACAGGTAATTTGCCTACCGAGATGAGGTCTGCGCTTATTTATATTGAGGTAGAATCATGGATGGAAGGCAGGTTAAATGTTTCCCTGAAATTATTATAAGCAGTGGAAGACTTGCAACATGTTATAATTTTCAACTCCAAACCCCATATCTAATGTCAGATTGCCCCAGTGTATATATATAGACGGAAATAGTGGGTATTTTTCACTTCCTCTTAGAAGCCCGTGCCTTCGTTTGATTTGGGCGAAAAACAATGGAGGAACGACTTTTCCTATGACGCTTCTGTATACGGCCTGATTTATTGGAGGGAGCTCGAGTGCCCTTGCCAGAGCCCCGGTCAATATCCATATCTGTGAATTCAACGTGTAAGAAAGGGAGTTTCAAGGGAATAGAAGGCAGGAGTCCTAAAGATGACGGGAGTTGTCGCTTGCACACCTTCATTGGAGCTCGGAGCATTTTCATTCACATTATCACCATGGCCATCTATATCTCATCGAGAAAATGTTAGCCGACACCCGCAGTTTCTATCCAAAATGGTAAGAGCAAAGCCACGCACTTGTTCTGGTGGTATCGAGTTCCATATCGGACTTCTCTTCGTTTGGCTTTGGCTGAGAAGCTAGCTCCTGTAGCTTTGCGGATAGCCTCTCAGTTCTTGCATCGACAACTGGCCCAAAGACAGTCGCTCGTAACTTTGCCTTGTTCCGTTTGGAAACGCTGGCTCGGACGCTCTTTGCCATGCTGTTTGCTGGCCGACTTGCAACCGGTATATAGTGAGTTAGAAAGAAATGCCTGTTCAAAAAAAAGTGAAAAGGAAACTTGATCAACCAGACGTTGTCAAGTCAGATGATGCAAAGTAGTTTGTGACTTTCTTCTGGCCTTTTTGCCCCCGCCTTTTACATTTTTTTTCTCCTCCCTTCCCTTTTAGGACTTTGTACCGCGGTGGAAAATCTTATGTCATCATATCGGAGGCTCTTCTCACCTCCGCAATCGCCGGCATGCGTCAGTCGCATAGATACCAATCATGACATCTAACTCTGTCCGGGCTCACTTTTCTCATCCGAATTGATGCCAGGTAGTCTCTTCGACTTGGAATAAGCCAAATCTCTTCATCTTTCTCAAGTTTTCCGGTTTAGCGAGGGATTGAGATGTCTTTGAACAGTGTCGCTGAGCATAGTGCAACTGTCTTGTATCTTTCTTTCTGAGCTAACACTTTCATGCTGATATCCCTGTCCGCAAGCAGTCCTTCTGCCCCTAGCCATGGCTTCTGCTGGTCAATTCTTAGATAACCAAAGCCTGAGTGCTCTAGTGAAGACATTGACCAATGCACAGCTCAAACACATACTCAGGAATGAGGGGCTTGCTGTTTCTGGATTGAAAGCTTCGTTGCAGCTACGGATTATTGACTGTTCGTGATACCTGATCTCATCTCGACTTCCCTCTCTAGGCCTATTACAGGAACTTGCCCGTGAAGGTGTTAACGTCTGAAATATAATAGATATAGAGAGGCTCAGCCAAGGAGGGCTTGTTGAACAATACGACAATTTGAGGAAATTCGTCTATGATACAGCACGCCGGCCAATTCCTGGACCCTCTTCAACGCAGTCTGTTCCCGGTCAACATTACCAGCCGTCTCCAGCCAGTCAGCCTTTACCAACGCAGCATAGACCGTCTTCATTAGGCCTATCAATGCCGTCGCATGGCCTTGCTTCTGGTATATATTGATTGCCCTGATTTTCTTTCTCCCCTCGCGTTCGCAAACTTCCTTTTCTCACTGTTATATAGGCCGCTTGACTTTCAAAGATAGTCCTTTTTACACAGTCGTGGAGCCATTGACCTCAACCGCGGAATGCAAAGGTATGTCACTGGTGTAACGGTTCGATTCCACAAGCTCTATCTGATCAAATTGAAAGTGCGCGAACAAACGAGGGACAGTGTGGAGCTTAAAGTTGTTCTTACACCAGCAGTCGCGTCTAGACTACAAGCTGATTCAAATCTTCGAGTGATGGTCTATTGTGCCGCAGACACGGGTCTCAACCAATACACAAAATCGGATATCGCTTTCCCCCATCAGGTTGAGCTCAAGGCAAACCTTGATGAGGTGAAAGCCAACTTGAGGGGTTTGAAGAACAAGCCTGGTACAACAAGACCAGCAGATGTTACCCAGCACATTCGTAAAAAGCCAGGGTATCTGAACAACATTGTCATGACTTACGCTCTCACTCAGAAGGTAAGCACTTAAAACTGCTTGATGACTCGCGTACACTCCCCTTTGGTTCGCATGAGGCTTCCTCCGTGGTGTAAGGCCATACATGGAGTCCCGCTAACAAACTTTAGCGGTTTTTTGTTCTCATGAATCTTGTTCAGAAACACCCAATTGAGGAGCTTGTGGCTGAGCTGAAAAAGAGAAAGACAATATCGAAGGAGCAGGTGCTGCGGGAAAGTATGTTTTGTGATTACCCGATACCAAGATTCAGATCTAATTGCCTGCAGTGAGAAATAAAGCGGACGACTCGGATATTGTTGCAACGTCCAGTGTCCTGTCACTCAAGTGCCCCTTATCAACACTTCGGATAAAGGTTCCTTGTCGCTCAGTTATATGCACGCATAATCAATGCTTTGACGCATCCTCGTTCTTGCAGCTTCAAGAACAAGCACCAACCTGGTCCTGTCCTGTTTGTTCCAAAGCGACCAGTTTCGAATCATTGCAGATTGATCAGTAAGCCAGACCCTGCTGGTGTATATCCGCATGTATATGTGTAGCATCATTCTGATTTTCTAGGTATGTCGATGATATACTTCGTTTAACCTCGTTAGACGTTGAGCAAGTCATTGTAGAGCCGGATGGTCGTTGGTCTAACCCTAATTACGAAGACTCTGCGAAGGCAGGCGGGTTTACACCGGCAGCAGATGATGACGACGAACTGATAGAGATAAAGGAGCCAGGAGTTACGCCTATCAAACAAGAGAGTCTCTCCGCTCCAACTTTCTCTGTGCAGCGGACACCTACTCAGTCACGAGAGCCCTCAGCAACATCATCTGCAGCGCACATCTCGACAAATAAACGCACTGCCGCCCAGGTCATCGATCTTACTGGAAGTGATGAGGACGATGATATCCCGATTAGATCTGCAAAGCGGCCAGCTTTGAATTCGATAAGCCGACCCTCACCTCGGCCGGAATTCTGCAATCCATATAGTGGTGGCTACCTGGATGGGGGAAGCATTCCGCTATCAAGCCATCCGAGCTCTGAATATACGAGTCAGAATGATGGCTATGATGCATTGAATTATTGAAGCATAGTAATCGCACGGTGTTGGGCGCATTCGGTTTCGGGGTCTGAGTAAGTTAGTACTTACTTACTGGACAGGTTCATTGGCTGCATTGGAAAAGGATGTATGTATTTGTGATTTCTTCTTAAATGGCTGGAGCGTGTAAGATGGTTAATTGGCATTCGTGAAAGTAGTCAGGTTCTCGATATACCACTTTCACCTTGGTCTCCGCATTCGCCAGAAGCTCATGAAACGCGCCTGCCGACTCGGAAGGATAAATGTTGTCTACTACGAACTCACACTAGCCAGTCGTAATTGAAACTGTTGTGGTGAAATCTGGTGTTATGATGAAAGGCAGGAGAGCCAAGAAAGCCGTACTTAGCGCTCGCCCTCCCCTGATTTGCTGCTACTCGGCAGGCAACTAACTGGATGCGGGCCAATGATGTAGATAGAATAGTAGTGCCGACTCGGGGCGGTTTTATTAGCTCCGAAGGCGGAAAGCCCTGGCACACTGGCGAGGGACCGCTTGTCCGGTACGTACAACAGCGCTTGCCTTGCTTATTTTGAACTGGAAGAATCCTAGATTGATCGGTCGTCATGTACGACCGCTAATTAACATAACACCATCCTAATTGCTCTCGAAGATAGTTGGTCTTTTACAGACGTCTACCTGCAAGGGTGGCCATCAGAGCAACCTTTGCGATGTCGTTTGATACACCAGCTTCACCACTCAATGCTTCTGACCCTCATGCACGCCTTCTTGGTGCTTCATGCCTGGACTTCCTCCTGATAGAGCTGGTGCCTATGGCAGAACGCTTGGCAAAAGATCTTGCCTCCGACGACACGCTACTAGACGACGAGGAAGTCAGGGAAACGACCTTTTTTCGCCTCGAATCTCTAGGTTATAGGGTTGGACAAGGACTCGCAGAACGGTACGCCTTGAATGCTCACTACCTGTCTTTCGGAAGTTTTTTTCATCATCCATGGATATGCACAGCTGGCATGCTGGAGGACGCATCAGACCAACCGAGGACGGCGGGCTTTGCAGATACAGGGCCTAGTTAACGTGCATTGAGCTGAGATGTCCGTGGGAGCAGATTCTCGCGAGATCGACCCCGATTTTCCGATAACCTTGATGTTATCAAGTTCCTTTGCAAGGACCTATGGACCATCCTTTTCAAAAAGCAGGTGGATAACCTTAAAACGAATCATCGGGTAGGCTGAACCCACGGCTGCTTGCAGCTCTCCCATTATGCCTTAATCTGCTGCTTGAGGGTATAGCTAATCCACACATCTTCAGGGCGTGTATGTATTGACGGACAACTCCTTTCGTCCCTTTTCAAGGATGAGTACATCTGTTCGAAATGAAGCGGTGTCGATGGCTCAAGCGGTATGACGAAACCAAAACGTGTCCTTTCATTCTGTCCGTTGTTCTTCGTGCTCTGACTAGCTTCTGTGCACCACAGTACTTATGGTTTCCATGCGGTGTCATTCGCGGTGCTCTATCTAATTTAGGTATCACAACCACCGTCCAGGCAGAGTCTGCTGAACTTCCAGGCGCGACCTTCCAAATTAAAACCGTCAATCCCAAACCTTGAAGGTAGCCAGGGCGGGCTGCCTGTAACCGTCTCGCACATATCATGGGTAAATTTGACAGCGATTCCCTTTGGCGATCAATTTACAGCATTCAAAACTCCTTGGAGCCTATCATCAATGGATTGCGGGGCATGTTTACGGATATTGGAGGATATGCACAGAGAATACATGATTGTTTCATTGATTCATGCCACTCATATCTCCTGAAGTCAAGTGCTTGAATCAAAGCCATCTCTCAACAGTCGCACATTTGTTTGCAGAGCCACACACTTCAAAGCCTATGTCCCCGAGATAACAATTATTAGCAAGGCTCCTTCCATGTCCGTGAACTTGTGAGTGGAACCACCGAAAGACATCTCTCCGGTGGTGACAAGGTATACGGAATTAACATATCACCAATTGATACTTGCGAAAGCTGTAACTCATGGCCTGGGATGGGCGTGTTTACTTTGGAGGAGGGTTCTTGACGAAGTCGACGCCCTTGTCGATATTCCCCTTCAGGTCCTTCACACAGACCTCTAGGAGTTTCTTTTCCTGTTCGGTCACCCCATCGATAATGTTGATAGCCTTTTCAGCGCCATTTGTCTAGTTCACGGCGTCAGCGTAACTTGTCAGGATATCACAGTCTTCTATAAATGAACAACTTACACCAAGTTCCACGAAGGTAGAGAAGAAATCAAGGCCAGTGGCTTTGACGATTTCTTCGCCACCGACAACACCGGGCAAATAAACGAAGGTAGGCTCAACAATACCCTTTTCGCCCTTGGAGGCTTTGATGACACTCACGGCAAACCTAATAACGCGTAAGCCACCATACTTGCCTCAATATGAGGGATATTCAAACCTGAAGCCAGCGTAAGCCATGGACAGGGTCGCGGAACCAGCACCATCCTTGGCCTTGACAACCTCATCGCCACCAAACTGAACACCTATAAAGCTATTAGCGCATCGGATAGATTGTAATGGGAGCCGCATGCATTACTTACGATTGACTAGAGCTTCGTACTTGTCTGCAGGAACCTCAAAAGCAGGGGTGGCCTTGCTGAAGAGAGGAACAATAGTTGCGCCCGAGTGACCACCCACGACTGGAATCTGCACAGCAGAAGGGTCTTTATGACCGGTGAATTCCTGGGTGAAGGTTTCGGCACGGACAACATCCAAGGTGGTAACACCAAAGAGACGCTTGGGATCAAAGACGCCAGCGGCCTTGAGCACCTCCGCAGCAATGGGAACTGTCGAATTGACAGGGTTCGAGATGATCAAAACAAATGCCTTGGGACAGTACTCGGCAATGCCCTTGGCTAAGTCTCGCACAATTCCTGCGTTGATCTTGAAGAGGTCGTCACGAGTCATTCCGGGCTTACCTATGGGGCCAACCCCCCAGTCAGTGAACAGTCAATAAGTTCGGGAGAAGGAGTCAAGCTCACGGGGTATGCCGGCAGGGATGACAACGATGTCGGCACCGGTCAATGCGTTTTTCAACCCATCATCCTTGGGTAGGTACCCGGAGATTTTCTGGCGTGGGCTTTAGCATGGGATCTCGGGGATCGAATCAATTATATTCTTTGAGGACACTCGCACGCACAGCAACGGAAGAGATATGGGAAAGATCGGCAGCGACACCCGGCGTGTTAACAACATCGTACAGCGCCAAGCTATCGACCAGCGGGCTTGTCTTCAGCAGAAGAGACAAGGGCTGCGTGGTCCGATGTAGACGCGGTCAGTTTGTGAGATGCATCGCAGGGGCAGAAGAGGGGTTACCGACCTGGCCAATGCCACCAGACGCTCCAAGAACAGCTGTCGACACCACGAATTAGCTTCATGGCTCCCGAGTATGAGGATCTTCTGATGGAGAGCGGGGTCGAGGTCTGGACGGGGTAAAGCGTCACACTCACCGGCTTTAACCATTGTGAAATTCGAGGGTCTCTTGTGATGTATGGTGGATCTACTTTACACGACAACAAGGGAGGATACTATGTCAGCAAGGTGAATGGATAAATGAATGGTTGAAGGGTGGAAGTGGAAAGAAAAAAATCCGTTCGATGGGAGAGGAAGGGGGGGCAGGTGGACGGGAGCTCAGACAAAAATAAGATGGGGAGGGGGAGGGGGAGGGGAGGGGGGAGGTGGTACGGCCGCGGTGAGCAGGTCAGGGCAAGTGTGGCAGCACCAGCATGAGGAAGGATCGGAGATCATGCGGGGAGAGGGAGGGGGGCAGTACTACTAACTACTACCACTACTACCACTACTACTACTACTATTAGTAATAGTAGTAGTAGTTAGTAGCAGTAATACGTGGTCGTAGTACTGGGTAGTGAGCAGCAGTAGGGGAACATACAATTTCTAGAGAGAGAGAATGTAAAGAATCAAAGCCGTTGATTCCCCCCGACAGCCAGGGAGTGAGTGGCCAGGAGGCTGGTTATATACGACGGACAGTAGGTACGGTCGACGGAGGATCACATGTGGGGGGAGGGGCTTCCATGAAGCTGTCTGGTCACTGTGGTGCGTTTGGTGCTTACTCTAAGCTCCGTAGCCGTACTTGCCAACCGGGGAACGCAGCCCTCTCCCCAGCTTCCTCCGGACTTCTCCAGGCTCCTCCTGGCACCTACAGCTGCTAGCCGCAGGATGCCGATACTACAGAGGTCCTAGGTACTGTATACTGCTAATAATAATACTCAAGACTATATAATTATGGATAGTAGCTGAGTTAGTTTCCAAGTACGGAGTAGCTTCCTCGTAGTCAGTCATTCAGCACATCTAATACTGCAAAAACTGCGTGCATGATTACTACCTTTTACCGGTCCTGATGCTGTTTACTTGCATATGACTTGGTCCTTGCTAACAGGTATTGGCGCCATCTCCATTCTCCTCGTCAAAACCCGGGCTGGGGCTGTGGCCTTCGGCTCAACCACGGCAGAGAGTCAACAGTTAGTACCACGCAGCCCTTGGTATTACCGTACTATGCTAAGCATCTATTCCTCGGATACCAGTCCCCTCTATCTTCCCGATTCCGGCAATTCTCGTCCGCCCCTGGTTTCAAGGGACAGATATACCGGGCTGACCACTGATCCATCGAGCCCTCGGCGGATGCCGGGTTGTTCGACGGCAAATGCATGGTAGGCACAAGCTTATGACCCCGGTTCTACGTGTTGTTTCGGCCCGACGGGAGGCACCAAAAGTATCCATGCCCTTACAGCCACGGCAGGACGGACAAGGCACTGGCCCTCACACGCTGGAGGCTGATTATTTTCCCGTTACCATACGTCATTGACACCTTGCTGAAGCCGAAAATTAACAGAACGTTGCGCTTCCCGTGCGCCGCCTCGCGGGCCCTTTCTATTTCTCTTTTCTTTATAACTTGGGTAGATTTTTTTTGTTTCCATTTTGAATGGCCTGGCCGGACGATCATGTCCCCTGGTATGCTAGCATGTATTGCTAAATTACATAGATATATTGCCGCCTTTGGCCAACACGGCGCTATTTTGGTCGACGCGACCAGTCCTTGTGACATCATGCCTCATAGCCCTTCCCAAAATTTTGGAATTTACTCGGACTTCTCCGCGGCCTTTCTAGCCTGGACACCGCGAAGCTTCTGGGGAGGAGTCTCCTTCTTGGGCTGCTGGCTGCGGCGGATGGCGCTCACACGGGCAACGGCGCTCTCACGGACATCACCACGGTATCCGTTCTTGGCGGTCTTATCGGCAACACCCTTGTAGATCCTATACGCGATCAAGGAAAAGATAACAATCAGCAAACTGTGACGTGACCCCCGGAGAGCGTCACATATCAACTTACTTGCGGGTGGAGGCGTTAGGGCCATAGGTCACGCTAACGACGTTCTTCGCAGGCTGCTGAGGGTTGCTGGTCTTCTTGGTGAGGACAACAACGCCACCGTTCTCGGTGGGCTGCACACCCACGGCCTGTCGTAGCAGAGTTAATCATCCAATGTCCGACATGGTATATCTATGGTGTCAAGCGCAGGTGATGTACCTTGGTGTTGGCATAACCGGCGTACTAGACCGAAAGGATAATGTTAGCACTGGACTGAAACCGCATGAGCAGTGTATTTTCGGAGCACAAACCTTGAAAGAGTGCTGGTTCTCTAGGTTCAGGGGGTCACGGGAGAACTGGGAGCCACCGCCGCTGTTACGCTTGACCAGAAAAGCATTCTGGGTGCCTGTTCAGTTGTCGTATATTAGCCGCAGAGAAAACTGACGGTTTGGAAAACCGGCTTTCTAAGGGTTCCATTGGGACAAGTTTTGCTTTGCGTAGGAGACGGTGACGTACGGGTGAGCTGCCAGATGAGGTCGCTGGAAACGTTGGTGGCCATTGTGAAGATGTCTTTTGAACCTGGGTAGGGGATAAGGACAGATCGAAATCGTCGCAATGTCGGTATATACCCTCTACTACTTAACAGAATAGCCCTTAGGAGGGAGGATTCAGTTGTGTGTGCTAACGCCAAGAGTGGCAGCGCCGGGAGTCTCGCTAAGCGGGCCGCTTTGGGAATAGATCCGTTTGTTGCCTCAAGGCCTCGGCTCTGATGCTGCCTTCTATTACTGCCTGAGAATTGGGGCAGCAAAAAGGCCTGACCCGCTAGTATCTAGCCTAGTACACAGTATACCAGTAACTCCGTCTCGCACGGTCGACCCACTTGCATCTTCCGCGGTCTTCCACATGTCGGTTGAGTGTATATGTGAGTGCCTGGAATAACTGACACAACATCTTGAGTTATTGTGATTTTCTAAATGCCTCTTGTATAGCTGGCCCTGAGAAGAGGCTTATTGAATTGGTTTTGTGTATTCTTACCTTTAAAGGTCCCCCTTTCCCCCTTGTTTAAGAGCGTCTGGCATTGGGACAACTGCGACTTGCTCAGCATCTAGCTTAATCCGGTTGCGGTTCCTCGCTTGCCTACCTTCCAGTGACGCTTCTTGACCATGGCTTACTATATTCTCTACCTCCTGACGCTGTCAGTGGTTGTTTGTGGCACTGGTATGTCAACGCGTGAACCCCCCCCCCCCGGGGCGGTCTTGGAGAACCATCTGACCTGCCTACAGTGCTTTACCTCACCCGCTCGCGGTGGTTACCTTTAGTTCCAGTCCCGGACTATATCTATGATCGCCTCCCGTCCAGTTTTGCTGGCGATATTGAAGCAGGCCTGATGTCTTCCGAGTTCGACACCTCCGCTAATGTTGCAGAGGGCGATACTAGAGCGGGGTTAGACGACCAGGCCAAACGCCAGATTTTGATGATCATGCGCCGGCAGAGAGTCGATTTCAATGAGGCTCGTCGGATTTACATGCAGAGCCACTTTTCCAAGAACAATATTGGCCCTGATGGCCGACCCAGAGACCCGAAATTCGTCTCGTTTTCTTAACGGCGCCAGCTCCGATTTGATATTTATCGTATCAGTCTCAACTCTTCATATTGGGTGGTAACCTTGGGTTATGTAGGCTTTTTACCATCTGGCTTTCTGATTATCTACACTTTCTTGTCGTAAGGTTGCTCGATATTTCATCTAAATTGCCTTCTGATCTCCATCGATCTACGTTGGCGATGAACCCATAGTTTTTGTGCACTCTACATGTTGTAAGGGGTCACGCTAGATTCACAATAATATGATATGGCGCTTAGAAGCTCGTGAGGAGTGTAAATGAGGTAAGAATTGGGTCTCGATCGTACATCTCTCTTCCCTTTCCGAATTTAGAGCTTGGACCAGTATTTTAACCTTGCCCATCGGTCAAACAATTATGTCCTCAGGTGCTTTCGGCCTTCTTGATACCTAGTTTGGGGGCATATTATTTGTTTCGGGCCCTGGCAACAACTCGGCTGCTGGCGGTCACATCGTGTTCAGGAAGTTATCCTACAAACCAAGTCATGGATGAGGAAGAGTACCACGTCTTCTAGTCATGTCAACGCATCCGGCCTGGAGTGCTCAGCGCCCGCGACCATACCCGGGCTGTTGAAATCCCGGTGGTAGAGAAGGCGGAGGCCCACCAGCCCCTGTAGGTGGGCCGAAACCTGGCGGAGCAAATCCTGGCGGAGGTGCTGCTTGAGATGGAAAGGGAGGTTGCTGACCAGCGCCATTGAACCCTGGGGGAAGGAATGTCTGTGGACCCCCATACCCTGCCTGTGAGGGCGGCGGTCGAGCGGGTAGACCAGGAGGCGGGTTTACCAGAGGCGTGGGAGACGGAATGGGTCGACTTGGCTGCGGGTGGGGTACGTTTTGGTAGCCAACATTAGGGGTAGCCATGCCTCTTCCCATGCCTAGCTCCGACGGATTGGTGCTCATCGGCCGAGAGTTGTCACTGGTGGCCATCGCGGCTGGTACCATGGGAGTCCCTGGATTCGAAAATTGCGGAGGTAGAGGTTGAGTTGGCAGATGCACGTTATGCTTACGAGCTTGTGCAGCCAGCATGCGTTCTGCCTCATCACCATGTCGTTCGCCCTTTCCATCTTTCTTGTACGCGTATTGTACAGAGACCTGTTTATTCATGAGATACTGGCCGTTCATGTTGGTTATGGCAGCGTCTGAAGATTCAAAGTCGGCGAACGACACAAACCCATAGCCCTTTGACAAATTATTATCATCTCGTGCGACCTACACCATGCTTGTCGTTAGCTGCTTGTCAATCGCGAGACAGACGGGTGTGAGAAATGGGGAAGGGAAAAGACGAGGGAGAGAAAAGCATGCCTTTGGTAAATTGATCAGATTGCCAAAGCGGCTGAATGTATCATAAAGAACCTGTTCCGTAACCATAGGATCGAGGTTTCCAACGAACAATTCCGCTCCGATTTCCACAGACTTCTGCTTGTCGGCGGATGCCTTATTAACACGGATAGGTTTTCCATACAGGCGGATGCCGTTCATGATCCGCGATGCATATTCCGCATCCTCTTCGCTGATGAATTCCACAAAGCCGTAGCCTTGATGTGACTGTGTGACTCGATCTTTCGGCAGATGAACGTTAACGATGCGCCCGGCCTGAAGCATCAGCTCCCATACCAGGCTATCTGTGACCCGTTCATCGAGGTTTCCAATGTAGACGGTAGCCTCTTTATCCTGCTCCCTACGTTGAAGTCTGTCAGCTATGCTTTGAGAGCGATTCCCCGACTGCGAAAAGACAGGGGCCTACCAATGCCTTGCGCCGGACATGGGTACTGTTGTCGAGGGCCCCTGGGCCAAACGCGTGCGATTGAATTGGAAAGTAAAAGCGGGAGGGATAAATGCGACAATTGTGAGGCAGATAAAGGAACCGTCAATGCCAAGGACGTATGAGGGAGGTCGAGGAGGAAGGAAGGAAGTGAGTGGGTGAGTGGGTGGGTGGATGATTGTTGGCAGTAGTAAGGAAGAGAGACGTTATCGGCGGAGAGCTTTTGCTGGTCCAAGTCTGGCCCCGGAAAACTTTTGAGCTTCAGCCTTTCACCTCCCCCAATCTTTCCGCCATTCCGTCAACTCTTCCATCCTCCCCCATCTTTCCTGGCACCTACCCAAGGGACGTTTGGCAAACATCTTCCTCTCCACCGGCAATATGGTTCAGTTCTCCGAGGAAACCAAGGTCAGTTCACATCCTGAATAATGAGTTGAAGCGTGACCGCTTCGCTTCTCTTGGCTGACGACAATTCGTCTGTTACAGGAGCGTATCTCCAAGGTCATCGACGTCTCCAGAGTTGCTATTCACTAGTGAGCCGCTTTTCACATTCGAGCGATTGGCTAGTGGTCGAAGCTGACTGTTTTTGCCTGCGCAAGTGGGTATCTACCTTTGATTGTTTATCTGGGTACGTGTGCTGGACTCGTGGGGGAGACCCTCTTGGTTGTGTTTGCTGACCAGATGGAACAGGATATACTTACAGTGAACCCCGGCCATCTTTGTTCAAGTACGCGCGATTACACCTGGTCGGCGCCTCCCAATGACCCCGGATTACTGATCTTGCGTATAGGCTATTTTCGCCCCTCGCGTGAAGGACCGGACTGCGTCAGGATGCTTTGGAGGGAGAGTTCACCTCTCATGGATGGCCAGTACTTGATCTCGCAGTCGGCGACTCAGTGTGGCAGAAGCGCCCACCAGGTTACTGAAATGACTCAAGATCCTTTCCTCGCTGTCGATTCCCGATGTCGACCGGGAACGGCCTATATCATTGCCCATGTACTTTTAAAACTACGATCGGTATTCATCACGTTTGGCTTCACATCCCGGGTGCCGTGCATCATGGTCAACGTAGGCTCAACAATGGCATTTCCCCTGGCATGACGATCGTAGATCCCTGCGATTTCCTCGCGGAGGGGACCGGCTACCTATAATTGTAGGGTTGGGAGGCCGCTCGGTCTCGCCGCGCTTCGGCCCGCCAAGCGGTGTTGAATCCGTCTCTTCCATTGCTCGGGCACGGCAGCCGTTAAAGGAACTAAAGGAACTTAACCTCCCTCGCACCCCCTCTTCGCAGCCCCGATATATATTACATTGGCTCCGGGCAGAACCTCAGACACCGCATACAACGCACTGCAGGAGGATTTGAAGGGTTCATGACTGGCAAGGATGGCTTGTCCCCGTCCTTGGTGGAAACCGTAGCGGGATTCACGGCAGGAATCGTCTCGACGCTCTGCCTGCATCCGCTGGATCTGATCAAGACTCGACTTCAAGGTCAGTGTTCTCAGTCTTTGAAATTCAGGCCATAACTGACTCTGCTCCTGCCATGGCTCCTAGTCGACCGATTGTCCTCCTCGCGAGTCGGCGGTTCCGTCCCCGTCGTCCGCGAGATTTTCCAGAATGAGGGCGGCCTCGCAGCCTTCTACCGAGGCCTAACGCCCAACATCGTCGGCAACTCCACAAGCTGGGCGCTGTACTTCTTGTGCTACGGCAACATAAAAACCGCAATGCGAACCTGGCGCGGCACTCATGACCGGGCTCTCACATCGGCCGACTACTTTCTAGCCTCAGGATCTGCAGGTACGCCGAAAATTGCACCCACATAGTGTTTGCCGCGACGGATCTTGATGCGACCAGCTAGCTAACTCCCTGGGCATCCAGGTATGCTGACATCGATTTTGACCAACCCGATCTGGGTGATCAAAACCCGCATGCTGTCGACCGGCTCTCGGAGCCCGGGGGCCTATACTTCGTTCATGGCGGGTGCGCGGGAGATATTACGCTCGGAAGGAATCCCGGGCTTCTACCGGGGGCTGCTTCCTGCACTTTTCGGCGTCAGTCATGGCGCGCTCCAGTTCATGGCATATGAACAGCTGAAGCTCTACCGCTCCCGGATGCCTCCGACTGGGTCCCAAACTAGCGCAGGTAGGAGTCATGAGGCGTCGGGCTCTCCCCAGTCAAAGATACAGGAAATTGGAAACGTGGACCTATTTGTGATCTCTAGCTTGTCGAAATTGTTTGCTGGATGTGTCACCTACCCGTATCAAGTGCTGCGGTCTCGACTGCAGACTTACGATGCTCACCTCGTGTATTCAGGCGTCCGGGATGTAATCATCCAGATCTGGGCTAGGGAAGGGCTGAGCGGATTCTACAAGGGCCTGGGCCCCAATCTACTCCGGGTATTACCCAGTACATGGGTGACCTTTCTGGTATACGAGAATACAAAGGCATGCTTGCCAGAGTTGCTCTCCAGTTTGCGATAGACGACAAGCTCACCATCGATCGGTCAACGGTGGCATAAAAACATAGCTGCCTGCTACCGAACGTTCAAGGGTTGCACCGGATGCTGCTCGGCTTGCTGGTGCTCACCAATTGGCTTAAACCTTATATCTTACTGCTGTGTACAATTTTGTGTACGGTATATATATGACCAAAAATTTCAGTGCTAGTAATAACTACGCTTCCTGGGCCGGCAGGAGCTATAGTACGATTTATTGCAACCGGATTAGGTCAGAGTATACTGACGGGCTGTAATTTGATACAGGTATATATATATCCCGAGGACACACTGATGTACACAAGAGGGTTTCTCCAAGCCTAATCATAACGTGTCGGGAGTTCCTGGTCCGGGAAACGCCTCTCTAAAATATCAAATCCTGGAAAGAGCAGGCCAAACAATACAAAAGGCGACGCAAACGAAGCTGGTATCGTAGGAACAATGAAACAACGAAATGGGGGGAGTTAAGATGGGGTGGCACTGTGGTGCAGGCGTCAATTAGCCTGTCGCTCGATGAAATACGGGTCAACTTCTTCATCGTCGCTACTGGAGCCTCCATTGTAGACGGACGCATCCTCATAGCTCGCTCGACGCGCCTTGTCATCACCGCCGTTGAGGGGTTGAAGCCGTCTGCGGGTATCGGTCCCAGGGTCTGACCGTGAAATAGGCGAAATTCTGCGATCCTTCCCGCGGCCTTTGATGCCCTTGTTGCTATTCTTGTATAGCGTGGCAAAATATTCCCAGAGTTTCCGGTCCTGTGGGCTCATATGATCTCCCTCTGTTACCTGAGAGAATCTCAATGTTAAATTCTGGAGAGTTGCTGCATGGAACTTGTTCTGATGTGACTGTCGCAATGTCAGCGTCAGAGGGACTGGTCAAAGTCAGTGGCATCCTTCGTACCTTAAGATTACCAAGCTGGGTAAACTGCTTGCCACATTCATCCAAGAGACAGGTGAATGGCTTGGCGTGCTGGTGAGTGATCTTATGGGCGCGGACATTGCCACGTTGGGCGAATCGTTTCTGGCATATATCACAGGAGAATGGCTTTTCTCCGGTGTGGCGTCGTTGATGAGTCTAAAAACAGTCAGGTATATTTGTTAGAAGGCCCGCTCGCACTTTATTTCGATGGTTGAACTTTAAGCCAGAGTGGGAGCTTACCTTCAGGTTTCCCAGCTGAGAAAAGCGTTGTCCACACGAAGGCTCTTTGCATACCTTGTAACAGACGGGTCAGCATTATACTCCCATACCCCGACAGGGCGGTTATTACACCTACAAACGGCTTGTCTCCCGTGTGGGCCCTCATATGGATATCCAGATGTGTTTTCTGCGCAAAGCTCTTGCCACAATGCGGAAGGGTGCAGGAATACTTGCGTTTTTTGCCTGATCGTGAGGGGGCATCCTCGACCGTGACAGTACAGCGGGGATTCGGGACCGGAATAGAATAGGGCTGGGGGAAGCAGTTGTTATTCCCATGTGTCAACTGTTGAAGGGGTGGCAGACATTGCAACCCCGATGGCTGAGTGGTAGCCTTGGCCTGTATTGCTTTCATCAGGATATCAACTTCAGTCGAGAACTCAACATCATTTGAAGAGGGGGGTTTCCCCTGTGCCGTGCCTCCATTGTTCGATGGTCGAGCCCCTGCCGGTTGCTGTGAGCCAGAATTGTGTTCGATCTTCGTCAGAGGATTCCTGGCTACTCCATTGACGGCATTTTTGGCTGGTCGGATATCGGGAATCGGCTGGATCGTCGGAGGCTCGGATGATAGACGCACTGGCTGGGGATGCAGTGGTTGCTGACCGGCTACAAAGTAGTGCTGGTACCCCGGGTGAGGATGAGGGTGGTGGTGGCTATGATGATGATTGAGCGTGTGCCCGAAGCCGTAGGTAGCCGATGATGGTTGATGGAAGGGTAGCGGAAATGTGGACGTAGTCGGATTGTGATAGAAGGAGAAGTTGTGGCCGACATTTGAGCCCATCATTCGACGAGGTGCAACAGCCCCGACTGCATGGCCGGGGAATTCGTATGACACAGGCTCTGCAGTCTCCATTTCGACGAGCGATCCCTGGGCTTGCGTTTGCTCCTCCGCCCCTGTGCTTTGAAACGCTCTTTTTGTCTATGGCGCGATGTCTCCCAGTGCAGGCAGTCAGAGCATCAAGTGCGAGGAATCAGAGAGAAATAAAGCGAACGATGAGGGGAAAGAAAGAAACTCCTCTCCTGCTATCTCGTTTCAGTCATCCGTCTACCACATCTCAGGGTAGCCATCGAGGTGTCTTACTGGGTGATGGACTGTCTTCTTCTTGCACAGAGTGCCGGAACCCAGGCAGTCGAGTGAGGATTGCGCAAGCAGGTGTTTAAGACCAAGCAAAGAAGCAAACAGGACGGGAACAAGCAAATAAGATATAAGGTGCCAGGTCAAGATCAAGATCAAGATCTCCAAAAGCAAACATTGGCACCGACAGCAATAGTTCGAGATCCCCGCAAACTGGACGTATCCCAGGAAGTTAACCAGACCGGGTCGGTGTATAATATCTCCAGGAAAGCAATGGACGAGGGCGAAGAAGAAGAAGAAGAAAAAGAAGAAGAAGAGTGGAGAGAGACAATGAATTGTGGTGGTCGACAATCGCAACGAGGAGGGCTATGACATTGATTTTGACAATGGGGGATCGCCAATAAGCAAATATACTGCTGAATTCTTCAGGTCTCTCTTTCTGGGTTAAGATTATTCGACACTGTTTTTCTTTTCTTCGGGCTGTCCTGCTTTCCCTTTTTATGTATTTAATATAATCAAGTAAAACCCATGCATGGTTCCCTGCACCTTGGCTTGAAGATCTTGAAGATTGATGCCGGTGATCTAGAACTAGATATACATCACTATCCATCACCTCCCTTCCCGGTGTCCCAGAGCAGTGGAAGCAGCGGGGTGCCCGGCGACAGGGATCTAGCCTGCTAGTTAATAATTAGCTGAAGGCTTGGACAGACTAAAGTAGGAAGGACAGGAAGTACGGAGTATACGGGAGGTGATTGGGATGGGTAGCCTGGGAGAGGGAGGGTGAGACCAGATTCACATCAGGTACCGTGTATGTAGGTATGTATGTATGTATGTATGGATGTATGGATGTATGAATGTATTGTTAGTAACGATTGCAGGAGAGAAGGACAGAGAGACAGAAACCAAAAAAGAGAAAAGAAAATGGGAAAAGAAAAAGGAAAAGGGGGGAGAGCAGTACCTAACAATGAGTAGATAGCCTACCTACTATGTACATAGAGCGTGACAACAGTAGCGCCGAAAAACAAAATATAAAAAAGGCGCTAAAAAATAAAGATCGGGAATGTACGAACTGCAAGCACATACGCACGCATACATACATACATACATACGCTCAATACCCGAGTCCAGTGAGGACCTCCTACCTTGCTAGTACTGTACAGGCAGCACTCCTGATACCCAAGTAAACCCGAGGTTATCACCCTTATCATGACTATCTTTTTCATCCCAAGAGAAAGACCCCATTCTGCCTATCTACGCAAGTCTCTGTGCTTTGTGTATGCAATGGTCTACAGAGTAAGCGATGCTTCTGAATGTGCACTCATTTACTCGTACTCTTTTTGGGGGGGGGGGGGGGGTAAGGCAGGTACCGTACGCCGTATCAGTCTGTTTGGACGAAGGTATTAAGATTGAAGCCCCCGACCGAAATCCCAAGCCACCGGAGGGCTGACGCATCTTACTTTGATCCAGCTAACTGCCAACTTCCCGTGGAGTTCTTTTCAGTTCCCCCCCCCCCCTTCTGAAGCATAAATGGGGCGAGGGATGATCATTTTTGCTCAAGGGAGTAACCTACTTTAGGGCCGGCGGGACGGAATGGGCCCGGGGGGATCGGGGGCCACTTATTTCTGGGGCGTTGGCCCAATCGCGGAATGGATGGTGACGTTCCGATCGGGCTGACAATCACGCACCACATTGACGGTACGGATGTAAAATGACCCAGGCTAAGGCTAAAGGCTTAGACAATCGCTTTCGCCTCGCACGTATACTCCGTACATACTTACATTAGTACTTCCCCTACTGCTAATTGTAGAGAAATGCCTGCCTGCCTGCCCAAGGACCAGGTAAGTCAGTCGGGTCCGATCTTGGCAATCCAGCAAAGATCAAAGCCCTAACTGATCGGGAATAATGAGGTCTTGGAGGCAACCACGGAGCTGACAAAAGACCACACCCTTAGACAGGAATATACAGGTCCCAGCCATGCAGGCTCGTAATCACCAGCACCTACCCACGAGTAATCCCATGATTTGACCCGAGAGGATGGACCAGGGCATTGGTCCAGAGTCCAGACTAGTTGGGGACGGCCTGACACCTGTTAGAGCTGATGTAGTACCTGACTAGTACCTACTCCGAGGCGTCTGAGCAGGGTGATCGTCATAATCGTGGCTCCTAGCCACCGACAACCGATCAGACCAATGTCCGGCATGCCTTTTAAGTATGTTTTCCTCCTCTGACGGAGTAAATGGCCTGTAAGTGGCCCGTACCGCAATGGCCCGGCTGTTCGATGCTGCTCCGTCCTCCTGACATGAAACCCGAACCCGGCTTTCATTACCGCTCGCGTATTATTTCAATATGCCACCCAGATAGCGCTAGTAAGTGAAACGACCGGGATACCCTCGTCATCTACGCAGGCACCTGAGTTATTGGGATCTCTGTCGACAAATGGGATGCCGGACAACCTTGCCGGGGAAGGATCATCGTCGGCGTCATCTGGATAGTAGTAGATGTAGATCCGAGAGCCGTGTCTCTTTGCCTGCCCATTGGGGCCTGCTGTCTGCTCATGGATCTCTGGGCGAAGATAGCCACTAGCTGGCCCTAGTATATACTTAGGTAGGTACTTGAGAAGTACCTACCTCTATTCCTGGCACTTTAGCAGGTCGGTGACTAGGACAAGTTACTCATAATCTGGTGGGCTATCTAGTTAGTTGGTTGGTTAGTTAGTAAGGGCTTTCAGTTCACTGGGGATTTGAGATTATACATATATACCTACATAACACAAAGTCCGGAGTGCATCACTGCTGTAGGTATCTCAGTAGCAGGGCCCCGCGGAGACAGCCATTCTTGATATCCAGATCCATCCCACGGCGTCTCGGATTCAGAGACAAACCCATCGGGCGGGAACTCCAGAATACTGGATGCTGGTTCGCTGCAGGCGCGCCCAAGAATATCCGCCGGCTGGGTTGAGCTGAGCTGAGCTGCGGAAGAGTACTTACAGTACTAGCAGTAGTCAGTCAGTAACTACCTACTAGTTGATCAGTTACGAGTAAGTAAGTAGGTCACATCAACCCTTTGGTAAAGTCAACAAACCTACTGCACACACCATTGGATGGCGTACTTCTGGGCACCCTGTCCAGGGTTCGCCGGCAAACTTACTGCCCATCTCAAGTTAGCGTATCTCGCTACATACATCATACATACATACATACATACATAGGTACATAAGGTACCGAACGGACCGCTCGCGGGCGATCGATAGGGTAGATACCCTGTGCGCTCATTTGTGGTCAACCTCCCCCCCGCCCACCCACTGTCGACCCGATGTGCCTCACTCTCTCGCACAAGCTCGCAACAGCCGCGACTGGCGATCTGGAAATGCCTCCAGTCCATGCCGTACCACCATCTGTTACTCGTCCGCAGCGCGAGACATTGATCGGCAAATGGGGGGGGGGGTGGGGGAAACCAAGCTATGTATGTCAGTGTGCTCCGTACTCCGAGGACAGTATATGCCCACGCATAAGGTACATACCCTACCGTTGGGGATAAACTGCCAGGCTCATCATCTCCTCATGCAAGACTTGATTACCGACCGAGTCGGGACAGATCTTGCTGGTCAGGACGGATGGAGTCATTCCTCTTCGTTTCCGATACGGAGGAGATACTACCGATAGGTCGATAGCATTATTATTCCGTTTGTCTTGCGAATCGGGGGATGGGCACAGCATTGGCCTCCCTGTAGCGACTCCACTTTGACCCTTCTCTTATTTTATTATTAGCACCATGCCCCCCCTGATGTTTTCTGTCTGGCTTCGTCCGACGTATCTACTGACATACCTATCTACATATTAAGTAAATGCGTCTTCTGGATGGCTCACTCGATGGTTAGATAATTAAGTACTCCGTAGTGAGGATTGGATATGTAGGTAAGTACTCCGTACTCCGTAGTTCGTACGTACCTATATACCCCTGAAAAAGAAAAGAGCCAAAACGGAAACCTGAGAAGAAAGTGGGGCTGCCCTCCCCGATACTGTTTGTTGTACTCCTCCGTAGCATGGATGTAAGTCAGAAATTTCTGTCATGCTGGCACTTACAGTTAACCGATGCCAGAGACCACTTCTTTCCTTTGGTGACCCCGGGAAAAGGGGACTGACTCACAGTAGTATCGTAAGTATATCAGCATATCCGGTTGGTTCGACCGCTATGTGCCGACCATCTGCCGGCTGGCAAATTCAGTACGGACGAGAGGTAGGTACCTGGTGGTAGCTAGATAGTTATGTAGATCGCTTACGGTGCCTACTTGCAGAGTAGTATGTGACCAAGGTGCGCACTACATCTCGACTCTGGAGTGCCTGATCGATGGATCAAGATTGGTGTAGATGGCCCGTGCTCTGCGCTGCCCATCCAGTCCATGATGCGAAGTTGTAGGCCACATTCAAAATGGGATTGTTTCAAAAGTCCGAGCTAGACAGACGACCAAACGAACCCTGAGTCACTTGGCTCTTGACTTGGTGTAACACCAGGGTTCTCCCATGACATCCATCCATGAATATCCCATCTCCCGAGTTTGCCGGAGGAAGCGCCCGCTGTCATCGCCGTAGAATTTTCAAACGAAGTGATATCTACTCAGGGGTGGGAAAGGGGGAGTCGGGGAACGACATACGATAAGGGAAAAAAAAAAAAGTCCGTCTGGAACAGCGAGGGATGCACGAAGATGGCTGGGAGGCTCTCGTGGGTGAGCAAGGGACATTTTTGTACTGGTTACTAACTGCTCTGTACATACAGAGTACGTGTCAAGTATGTAGGTCAAATGTCAAAGTGTCCATGTCATGGAATGGGGTGAGGCTATCCGCTGCTGTGACGGGCCGGGCCTTCATCTCGGAACCGCTCAAACTCAACCATTACCTCGCCCATGGACCCATGGAACATACTTACACCAACCCTCATAAGAGAGAACAAGGCATTCCTTATGCAAAGGACGGACGGTTCCGTACTATGGGTCCCCTCATCGGCCTTGACGATCGTGGACAACGATGCGTCCCCGACACTGTGGGGCCCAGCTAAACCGGAAGCCAAGGGCCCTTCTTGAGGTAAGTAGATACGGGGTACCCCTCCGTGGAATCTAGTGAGGATCTATTGAGTGACACCCACCAAGTGGTGAGAAAAGGACGGAGTACTCCGTGCTCTTCCGTACCTGACGGGCTGAATACTCCCCCGTGTGGATAGATAGCTAGGTAGTAATACTCAGCAGGGACATGAGCACCCCGAGGATTCCGATCTGCTCGAACCCCCGAGAAAAGAAAATGCGCACACTTGCCGGCGGTCGCGGTTGATCCACAACGATCGAGGTCCTAAACATGGAGACGGGGAAACCAGACAAGCGCGCGATGCCTCATATTCGGAGAGATCCACTCAGCGTCGGCCAGTCAAGAGAGGAAGGCAGAAGAGCGGATGCTCTGACCCTTGCCCTGACATGATAGGGGACAGAGGGCTGCGTTGGAATAGGGGGTTTCCTCTCTGGAATCTGAGAATCTCTAGTCTCGTCATGATGAAGGATGGTTCATGCACGGGATGCATGTAGTAGTGGGTAATATGCACCATGATGTTGATGGTGATGATTGATACTTGCTCTGTACTCCATGCTCCGTGCTTCGTCTGTACGGAGTACAGCAGCTCGACTTGGGGCTAGTCTAAGCCAATCCTGGATTGGCCACTACAACTGCAGTATGAATGTTCAGGTCCCCGGGGCCAAAACGGATCTCTCCATTGTATGTATGTATTCATGTATGCACATATGAATGTACGGAGAATTTTCTTCTGCCAGTAGATATCCGTCTCTACTGTACTAGGTAAAGACTTAGGTTGGTTATAGGGGGAGTACTATTCAGTCCATGAATGCGTGACACCAGGCAACGCTCATGCTAACGACAGGCAATAATAATGATAATTATAATAGGAGGGCAGATAGTAGGAGGAGGATGACACAGCAAACAACTAGGTATATAGTTACCTATCTAGCGTATAAAAATACATACAGTACGCAGCGCTCCTGAAGAGTGTTTGAGCGTACCTCATAGTAGTACGAGCCTGCTTGACCCAGCCGGTAGATCGATCCTCTCAGCCGATCGTCGCCGCGCCTGTTTTGGCCTCTTGGGGGTTATTTATTCAAAAATAAAATAAAAATAAACCATAGTAGCTACTCCGTACGTAGGTACATGAGCAAATAAGCAAACTTTTTAAGAACCCAAAAGACTAAAACCCAAGCCCAAACTTAAATGGATTTCTCTCTCTCTCCCTCCGAGCTGACTGGTGCAAAGTCGCGTCTCGAAACCAGTCTCCATCCAGGCCACTGCCTCGTGATCGCCAGGGCGTGTCAGAAGACGCAGAAAAGCACCTCGCGAATCGCATCCCAGCCAATAGCGCCTGCTGCTAGTACTCCGTACATGATGAACATGCTCCCCGGTACCGAGGGGTACGAAGTCGTACAGGACGGATCCTGGATGATCGTATTGAGTTCGAGACATGGATCAGGCCCTGAGGACTACGGGAATACGACTTAACCTAACTGGACTAACTCACTCGGTATTATCCAGACAGTACGAAGGATCCGCCACACTGCATGGACTGGAAATTCAGGAACGCGCCGAGTGGAGCATTTCGATCGATAGATAGCTATGAAGTTTTGTTTACTCCGTACCATCGCCACCTATCACTTTCCCGGAGGTTGGACTTCAACAACCCCCATGCAGTCTGTCAAACTCATCACACCAACCCCCCCCCCAGCTATCTAACCATGTACTTACAGTAGGTAGGTACCTAAGTATGAATATATGTATGTGCAAACTCCGTGCCCCGTACTTGTACTTATGTATGTATGTGTGTGCACATGTACGTCACAGCTGGAGTTCGCAGCTGGAGGATCGTCTTTCACAGCACAGAGGGCCGGGAACCACATCCAACAAAAACATACATGCTATCTATCTACTCTGAACAGCATGGACTCCCATCAGGCTCTGGCCTGCATTGCTTTTTGCCATACTGCACCTAATCCTCTCCGTCCTCACTCCCTTCTGATGTGCCGAAAAGTACACCCAGTACGGCATTCCAGTACATGCGTGGAGCAGAGAGTATGGTTGAAAGGCCAGTATCCGCCAGTTGAACGTCAGTCCGTGTGGATTGGAGACTTGCTACTGCTGGGTGCCAGTTACCTGGCGGAGCATCGGTTCTGATTCATGTCTATACAGTTCGAACGTCGGTGGCTCCGTGGCACAGCGTCGTCCCCCATCCCCAGAACAGGTACAATTGCCTCACTAGATCTGGTTTTGATGGGTGTGCCGATGACAGACTCACCTTTACGACCTGCAGATGGATCTTGCATGAACTACGTGCCGACTGGAGACGCTGCGAGAATTGGCTATCACCGGGTAGCTAGACGCGACAATATGTCCATGGACCATCGGAGCCGACAGAGCCATGGATCAACGCAGGGGCCTGAAGGACATTCTCTTTCTCTTGCCCGAGTGCAACGCGTCGTAGATAATGAGCCTACGGTATACCCAAGCTTGCTGGACATGGTGACCAGGACAGAACGGGTCACCAGCCCCTCTGATGACCACACTGCTCTCGTGACAATTGCATTCAGCCTCCTCAAAAAGAATTCGGAACCACGTAATAGGCGCGAGATGACTATCAATACAGCCTTCCTTTTCACCACGTTTCGTTTTCTTGCTTTTGCTTCGTTCGGAGTGGGCCGTTGCCTTCGAAGAGATAATTCAGGAAGTCTCTCGCCCATGATAGTAGGGAGCTGTGACAAACGCGACCGGCATTTTGCAACGCGAAATCCTATAGGCGACATCGAACTAGGTGCGGCAGACAGAGAAGAAATCAAAAACAGAAGAGTTGAAGAAATGAATTCCACAATTGCGCCAAAGCTTTCCCAAGCAAATCCCATCACCGTCCAGTATAGGTAGAATATCTAAAAGAGTGTAGATCGTCAGCAACGTTTACAGATTGAGTGAGTCTCGTAGCAGAAAACGCGAAAATTTACCTCCAGATCCTCGCCCTCATGTCACCACTGCCAGTGGCAAACAAATTGTTGGTTGGACTAGGCGCGACCGAGATGACTGTTATGAGGTTAGCAGGGGTACCTGGCTAGGCAGAGGTTATCATCAAGGGTACGAACCAGAGTTCTTGTGGCCCTGGAGCATCATCTGAGCGTTTCCGGTAATCGGGTCCCAGAATTGAACGCCCCGATCCTTGGAGCCACTCATGACCCAGTGTCCATCGGGCGTAAGGCAGACACTGAGCACGAAATCCTGAAATTTGGAGTAAGCAACCAATCCCTCTATTTCACAGTTGGGAAGCACGTACTTTGTGGCCCTCGAAAGTGCGGACGCATTTACCGCCCTTGACCCCGGTTCCAGGATAGGCGCCCCGGGGCACGTTAAGTTCCCAAAGCTTGATGGTCTTATCAAGACTGCCACTGACCAGATCGCGGCCGTTAGGTGCAAACGCGACCGAGTAAACACTATCCTTGTGGCCATCGGGGCTTTCCAATCGCTCCACGAGGTAGCCGGTAGTGGTATCCCAGACACGGACACTCTTATCCAGGGAGCCCGCAGCGACGTAGTGACCATCTGGGGACATGGCCACAGTGGTCACTCCGTCCTCGATGCTCAGGGTATAGACCAGCTTGCCATCCAGGATGTCCCAGAGGCGCACGGTCTTGTCCCCGCTACCGGATGCGATGTACCGACCATTTCCAGCAAAGTCAAGCGAGTAGATATCCTGCTCGTGTCCAGTGAAGATATGCTTGATCGTCCGGGCATTGATATCCCACACCTAAGTAGATAAACCAGTCAGCCTTAGCATAATCAACTCGAGCATACCACATCGGGACATCGACCGATAAGAGGGTCAATCGAAGTGACAATGGATCGGAAGAATTATCCGCAAAGGCCGAAGTCGTTGATCCTTCTCGTCAATGCGTCCACGAGAGCCCGTGCCACAAGGTCAAAAATGACTACTTACTCTAATCTGCTTGTCTTCCGCGCCAGTCGCAAGGTACTTGCCATCGGGACTGAAGCAAACACTGCGGATGTAAAGATCGCCGTTTTTGTCCACATTTTCGTCCTGCAGGGTGGCGACATTCTGACCAGTGGTAACATCAAAAATCTGCGCAGAGCGGTTGCAACCGGTCGCAAGATACTTGCCATCGCGGCTGAATCGGACACAGCAGACGACGCTATCATGAACGAGATGGTGGACAAGCTCCACGTCCAGCACGCGCTGCACTTCAGGGTTGAACACGGCGTACCAATCAGCCCCCTCTCGCTTTTGTGAGGCAGGCAAGTCATCGGGATTCCAGTTGGCAAGCATATTTCCCGGGCGATCACGAACGATGGTCTGGCTAGGGGGAGTGGGCCGAGCCAGTTGCGGCGAGACGCGAGGATCCGGATAGGCCAGCTGGTGAGTCTGTTGAGGAGTGGCGGGGCCGGGAGGAGCACGAGGCCGCTTTCCAGGACCGGGAGAGGCGGCTGGGGGGGGAGGGGGTCCGTAACCTGTTGAAAGATCACATCGATCGGAGTCAGAAGTCAGGAGATCTGCATTCAAATATAGTTACAACATACCGTTCACAGCAGCACCAGGCTGGTATCCTCCAAAAGAGCTCTGCGGTGGTTGCGGTGCTCCTGGCTGGGCCGCGGCAGCAGGCTGTTGAAGGGTGTGCTGGGGAGGCTGCTGATCCTGGGGAGGGGGAGGGGCAAGACCGGGGCCACTACCTCCTTGGTTGGTCATGATGCCACCAAACAAATTGCTAGGGCCGTGGCCCAGGGCGGGTGGCGGAGCTTGGGTAGGTCCAGTGTGCTGGGCCGGACCGGCAATATGAGAAGACACGGTCTGAACCCCGCGCGATTCAAGCTCATGTCGCAACACTCGGATCTCCGCCTCGTAGCTGTATGACGGAAGGGGTTAGTTGATGTTCCTGGAGCGGAGCGAGTAGCTGCTGCACCACGTACTCTTGTTTCATTTTAATCTGGGCTTGTTCTAACTGGTAGACCTTCTGTCGGATCATTTCCATTTCCTGGAGCTGGCCGGTCACTGGAGTCTTAAAGTCAGCGGGCCCGCACTACAAGGTGATGGATAGCCTGTTTGGTCGCGTATCGTCCCATCTTTGCATTACGCTTCTTGCTCCGCCCTGTCGGTAGCTCCTGCGCGATGGGACAGACTAGACATCAAGTTGTCTGGAGATAAAATGGTTCACAGCGCAAAGCCACGTCGCAAAGCCGATCCAAGGCGCCAGGTAAAGGTGAAGAGGGGAGAAAACAAAACGTACATTGGTGTTCGAACTCGCCAGTGCTTCGGGATTGGTTTTCAAACTCCTGGCGCAGCTGATCCAATAGCTCCGTCAGGCGGGAGTTGGGAGCGGGAACCATCCCGCGATGAGTGTTATACATTTCGTGACTTGTCGTTCTTTCAGCTTCGCTTTCAGACAGTACCGGATGGATGGATTAGCCCGGTGAAGAGAGGCAGATAAAGGCGGGATGTAGAGGCGGAAACCAGATGGCCTTAGGAAAGCGGTAGATCAACGGAGAGAGTTATTTGCGACGGTGAGCGATCGGGGTCGACGCAAGGCGACAGAGACTGCTGGGAGGAAGTTGATCAACGCAGCCGCATCACAGCGCGCCCCTGAGGACTCGGCGCGGCAACGTGGTTGAAGGAAAGAAATTAAGACGAACAGAAAAGGATACTGATTGAGAGTGATAGCGCGTGGCCGTGGGTCCGGGGAGGAAGGCGGGTGGAGGGTGACGATGAGTCGAGAGGGGGGGAGGAGAGGAGGAGCTGAGGCTGGAGGAAGAGGAGGAGATGAGGTGACAGTTGAAGGTCCGTTCAGTTCGTTCGTTAGTCTCTTAGGTAAGGTCCGGTCAGGCTCGGCTGGCTGGGTCCGGAGATCAGCTGGGCCCAATGGGATTGCCTGCTTTGGCGCCCGAAGCGAGCCTTAGACGAGAAGCGACCGGGGCATGGGAGCCTGGGAGGAGAAGGATGGTGACCTACTGAACGCCTAGACCATAGCCTTTCTAAAATAAAAATCACTGGCTCCAGACTCCGAGATGATTCAAACCATCTAGGTGCAGCAAAATCCGAGTTACATCCAATGGGAAACCGGTTGCGCAAGGTATTACAGATGTGACAATACACTGGCGAAGAATCTTTACCGAATAGCACTCATAGCCGCCGTAATACCAAGAAAATACGACTGTACGTTACCGCACCCAACCTGCGCCTTATCAGATCTTCGGCATTCCGGATACTACAAAGTATATATACTACGCCGCACGGGAATAGGAGATATCCAGTATACACGGCCCAAATCCTACTGGGACGTTCTCGGTCCTTCCCTCTACACACTGCACTACACTCTGCATACACAGTATTAAACATATATATAATCACACATTTACTGCGATATCCCATTCGTCGTCCCCTGTCTTCTGGAAATCCGCGCCTCCCCACCGTCCGGGCCAGAAAGCCGATCCGAGAGAGGAGAGAGCGAATCAGACGGAACGGCTGTGCTCGTTCCGCCTGGTGTGATCCTCGCCGGGACATGATAGGCTCTGGCCATGCTTCTTTCCATTCCTCTCCACCAGACGCTTCAAGATTACTTAACTTCTTCACCCCTGTCGAGGTACTCTTCATATCCTCAAGTCGCTTTCCTTTTCTCCCCCTCAACAACTATCACCTCCGCTGCACCAGCACACGCCCATCATTCTTAACGACCCTAGTCTGTCTTCTTCCTTCCTATCCGCGCCCCTTTTCGGGTAACAGACACACCCGGCCCGTGTTTATAAAAAAAATAAACCCCCCCCTTCCGCCACCACCCCTTCTTCAATCGCCCGCAATCGCCTGCCATTCACTACAATCGCTGGGTTCGCCTCGCTCAGTCCCAAATCAACCCGGGCACAATGGATATCGCCCTCGAGATCTGGGACACTTTTCTTGGTGATCGTCTCTATGCGGCTCTTCTCCCCGCGTCTCTCTCGTCGTCGGTGTCGTTCCCCGGCTTCACCAATGCCGCCAACAGCACCCTATCCTTCTTTGGCGCATCGAAGCCATTCGCTTATGAACCAGCCACGCAATTGATGTATTTGGAGCCTAGCAAGTACGCTTACCTAAGCGCTTGGCCGAGGAACAACATTTACCGCCAATTCCTGAGTTTCTTCCTGATCGTCTGGTATGTAGAAACTTCCATTGTCTTTCGCAAGTTGAGGCTTTTCCTTGGCTGACAGTTTGGACGTACCGCGTGCGTCGAAAATAGGATTTTTGGTATCATCGTCTACTTCATCTGCGCGTCTCTGTCGTACATCTTCATTTGGGACAAGACCACCGTTCACCACCCGAAATTCCTCAAAAACCAAATCCCCATGGAAATCGCTCAGACAATGCAATCCATGCCGATCATGTCTCTTTTGACCGCCCCATTCTTGGTCGCTGAGGTCCGCGGTTACGCCAAGCTATACGATACCTTCTCTGCTGAGCCATTTCCCTACTACAGCATCCTGCAATTCCCGCTGTTCATCGGATTCACTGATCTTTGCATCTACTGGATTCACCGCGGTCTGCATCACCCATTGATTTACAAGACTCTGCACAAACCCCACCACAAGTGGATCATGCCCAGTCCGTTCGCCTCGCACGCTTTCCACCCGCTAGATGGTTGGTCTCAGAGTGTACCGTACCACGTGTTTCCTTTCATCTTCCCACTCCAGAAGGTGGCATATGTGTTCCTCTTCGGATTTATCAACCTTTGGACGGTATTGATCCACGACGGTGAATATGTTGCCAACAGCCCTGTGATCAACGGAGCGGCCTGCCACACCATGCACCACTTGTACTTCAACTACAACTATGGCCAGTTTACCACGCTATGGGATCGCCTTGGAGGCAGCTACCGGAAGCCTAACGAGGAGCTTTTCCGCCGTGAGACGAAGAATGGCGAGGAAGAATGGAAGAGGCAGACTAAGGAGATGGAAACTATTCTCCAGACTGTCGAGGGCGATGATGACCGGACATACCTAGCCGATGCGGAAACCAAGAAGGATCTTTGAATGATCCACGGGTGAGGAAACTTTTGGTAGGGCTGCAACTACGGAATCGTCACCTCCCCCCTATCTTTTTTATTCTTATATGGTTCCGACTCCAATTCCTTCTACGACGGAGATATTTTGGAGGTGGTAAGACCCGGAGCTGTTGTCTCGAGGGAGAAGACCCGTGGGAATGGTTGTCTAGATGCTAGCAACATTCTCGCGGGCTCTTGTTCATTTGACCCTGAGACGGAGCTACGTTATGAGACCATGGCTTCTTCTTTTTCTCTTCTTTTCAAACTGAGGACCCCTAATCACGCCTTGTACAATGGATTCTAGTGTATTAATTCGCCCTTTTTACCCCCACCTTGTATTTTAATGCATCCCCAAAACTGACCGGCCATGTTATAGTCTCTTGGGGCGGAAACCTTTCAGTATTGGCGGCTTTTGTTTTTCCCATGTGGCTTTTGATTCTTCATATGTATATATACTTCGTGAAACAAAGCTGGCTGTCATAGACACTTTTAATTATAGTCTGTTCAATAAATACTTCTCAGCACTCACGCTACCATGACACAACTCTATTCTGGACTTCCTGCCCATTGTAACATTGATGTACACAATGTATACACCTATATATTATGTCCCTTATGTAGAGCAAATCCACAGACGAGATGGAAAACGAGGACGAGGCTTTTCCAAAAACAAAAATAGCAAAGAGAAATAACAACAGAAAACCGGGAAAGAAAAATGAAGCTGCTCAATACTGATCGTGTAGTACGTATATAGCCCTTGAACTTCAATGATGACATTTCGAAACTCCTTACCCGCTGAATTAGTTGAAATAGTAAGTGCACACCTATGGATACAAGCAGGGCTGGCTGTTCCGAATGAATAGTAAGTACATGGGCCAAAATTTCCCTACTACACATTGATCCAAGCTCATGAGAAATCAGCACCCGCTTCTACTTCCGCAACATCCATTTCGCCATCTGCCGGAGCGATCTCAGAAGTGACGGTCTCAGGAGCAGGAGCAATAGTGCCGACAGGTGTAGCCGTGGCCATGGCATCGGTAATAAACGACTCCTCGACACCGGCTTTCCTTCGGAACACTCTTAGCCACCGCTGGCCCCATTGCCGGATAATTTCGTCCTCTGGAAGATTTCCACTTCCATCTCCCCTTTCCATCAGCTCATCATTACTTCCACCGGCAACAGACACGATAGAGTCTTCGATGACCTTGAAGAGAGCTTGCATATCAACCTTCTCGCGATTGAGGGTTTCATCAAGAACGCTGAGCTGAGGTTCGTAAAGACCCTGCTGGGTGCGCGCGGCAACAATTTGTCGCAGGCGGTTTGTGACCTTCCCAACAGTAGCGGAGATCATCTCGAAGACGTGAGACTTTGCAAGAACGGTGCCTGCCTCCAGCTTATCCACCAACGCCCATTCAATCACGGACAGCGGGGTAAGAATGGTATAATTCAGGAGCTTGTCGATGATGTTGATGCCAATGCCAGGCTGATCGACCCAGTATTCCATGACAGAAGTGATAATCTGGCGCCGCGCCTGCGAAGACTTGGGGCCAATGGCTAGCAACCGTTCCTTGTTCCGTTCGATACAGGACAGAACATGAGAGAGGGATTTAGAGCCGACAAAGCAAATAGCGGTAACGAAGGCATCCGTTGAAGAAAGCAGCGGATCTTCAACACCCATTGACTTGGCTTGTTCTTCGATTGCATCGATTACCGGCTGTATTTCCTCGTTACTCGCCTTCTTACGAACAAGCTGCATGGTTTCTCTGCCTTCAGCAGCATAAGGGGTAGCTAGATAGAAATGGATTAACTGTCATGTATTTAAACCACAGTTCGTGAGGGAGAAACAAGAACAAACGGATGTGCAAATGTAGGGGGGGGCTTACTGTCGGACTGGTATTTGAAATCGGGAGTGTCTTTCTCTTTTCCTTCCGTAATCAAGTCTTGATACGGATCCGGAAGAGTTCCCCTAATGCGCTGCGCAAAGCTCAGTCGGATCTCTTTGTCGAGTGCTCCGGTAATGAAAGCCATCCGCGGATGGACAAGAGGGAGTTCCAAGTCATCGACCCTAATTGATCATTAGCATGATTATACACGTCGACTCGCTCTTCACCAGCCTGTACTCACCATTCGCTCCATTTCCACGTGAAGCCAAAATTACTCAGGTGGTGAGAGAACCAATCCAAGAATCTATGGCTTAGGTCCAAGTCTATCGTTTCCAGACCGCGATACAAAAAGCGAATAGCACGCCCTAAGCTCGGAGCAATAGCAGCCGGAGCAATCTTACAGCACTCCGTGAGAACTGAGTGGTAGTACACCAGCTTGTGCTCAGGCGAAGGTAGTTGGAACAGTTGAGAAAAGACGGCATCCACGGCAACATCTTCAGGCTTCCACTGGGAACGATCGCCAGGTAAATCACGTAGTCGATCAAAAGGCGTCGCACGCTTCACAAAAGTATTTGTCGTGAAATAACAGTCGACATCAATCAAAAACTTTGCCGTCGCAATGCGGTTGAAGTCGAGAATGTTTATAGTATCGACAAGGACATCACGCATTAAGGAGGAAGCGATGTCAGATGTAGGGGGGACCGTCTCAATATCCTGATTCGCATAAACAGAGAGGTACACCTCTGGGAAGATCGCCCTTGTACCGTTCTTCACCGGGCTGGGGACCGTGATTTGCGGGAAAGGATGTTTTGGCCCATCTTCAACAGACTTGGGCTCGCCCTCCTCTTCCCGTGCCTCATCTGCTTCCAGTGCCTCTCGTGCACCCTTCCATGGACGAGGGAGACATGAAAGCTCCCAGCTCCGACTGGACTCATTCTGAAGCTGGGTCTGAACCAGGCTAATGAAGCTTTGCGTGGCGGTTGGCTTACCGGTCTCGGGGCCAAAAGGATTCACCAAGTCAACAAGGGCATGGGGGGTGGAAGCGATGATGTCCGTCTTTTCCAGAAGCGCGGTGGCATGAGACTCGAAACCTGTTGCCGGAGACGCCATTACGTATGGAATCGTAAAGAGAATGATCTTAACCAGCTCCAGACCAAGCAACTATAGGCGGGGAATTAGCAAATGTATGACTTCTGGAGATAAATCATCAGTGTCGCTCACATCTTCAGAAGATGCTGTTTGAAGGTCAACTGCGCGCGCAAAAAGCTCTTCCAAAACTGGGAAGATGCCATCTCCTTCGAAGATACTCTGGAGGCAACCCAGAAACCGCAGAAGGAGCTTAACTTCGCGCCATGCGCCAACATCGACGTATTTCTGTAGACTTTCACTCGACCTATTGAGGACGTCGGAGACGAGTTCGGACTTCTGGAAGTTCGCAACAAGAACGGTCGCCGCGATGAAGGGGATCTTTAACGGTTGCTCGAGGACACTGGTTTGATGACGGCATTATTAGCTCCAAACCACAATGCAGGGGCAGTGAAACACGCAGGAGGAGTGTTAAGGTCAGTCATACAGATCAATAGCGATATCGACGAACGAATTCCGGAACTCCTCATCGCCGTAATTTTCTGCGACGCTCCTTGCAATACTTATAGCGTCGTCCTCGGCTCTTCTGGCAGCCTAGACAAAAGAGGTGAGCCACAGCACGTGCCACAGAGCCATTGCACGATTTGAAAGGGTATCATACAGATTCGGCAATTGTTAGCAGTTGTCTCCGGACTTTCACAATAAGAGGCTCTTCATATCGGCGCCTTTGTCGGCGGTCATAGTCATCATCTTCTGGAAATCCCCGTTTCAACGTCAATGTAAATGGTCACGATGGGAGCTTCAATTTAAGCCAGTAAGAAGAGCATTGCTCCAAGAAGAAACAGACAATTCAAAGCAGCCAGGGCGGAAGGTGTGTATTACTGACCTCTATAGCGCCTCTTGCGCCCGCCCCTAGGGCCATGAGGTCGGCGGTCGTAGTCGGCCATTGCAAGTGGACCCGGCGTCCTTTCAAGATGTCTCGCGCACCGACTACTGCGGGTTGACAAGGCAGTGGGAAAGAGCGCGCAGGCGTCTCGGTAGGTGGTAGTAATAGGTGCAGGCAGGTAAGAAGCAAAACACGGGCCAATAATGCCCCGGGATCGGGATGCGGGATCCTCCGTCCCGCTGCTTATATAACACGGTCTTCTACGGGGAGCTGGCGAATGCCTGCACAGGTCGCTGCCTGAATGCATGGGACAGAAGTACAGTAGCATCTCCGATACCTGAGGGGACTCTCTCCAGGATAGTTCCAGCCAGCACTACATCGCAAACGCCACATAACGTGCCCTCCTCAGGGATAGCGGTTCCAACTGCACAATACAAACCTGCAAACAAAACAAGTAAAGAAATGGCATCATACCATGCGGTGATAATACAGATCAGAAATGAGAGTATCCAGGCATAGGTCTTCAGGCTCTCTAGACTGGATGAGTAGACGACTAGTGACAGAGACAAACAGGGGAATAAAGCAATAAAATGAACCGACTTATTTGCGTTTGGAGTGCAACTGCGGGCCTACCAGTAGCCTCCTTAACAGCTAAGTCGTGAAGGAATATCATCGCTGCCAGGCGAATGGGGAATGGAAGGCGTAGATGAGTAAAGAAGAATATCAGATTCAAGCAGGGAAGACACACAGACGGGGCTTCTAGCGCTGCAGGTCGGGGAGAGTAGACCTCCGATAACTATATTCACAAGCACACTGACAGGCATGCGGTATGGCGCATCCAAACAAAGAAATCCTCATGATATCTGACGCATTTGCAGGACATTCATCTTTCCGCCCCTGTGAAGAAGACTCGCGGCAATTTGCTGACAGGGCCCCTTCAATCGAGACATGAAGCTATGCAGACTTGATCCCGGGAGGTAGACTCACGCAATAAGGGTATCACTTTTTTTCCTTCCCAAGAGCTGTCTCAGACACCTCAATAACTCCAGGCTATATTATCCCACCAGCCCCTTTGCGTGAAACTGTCATGATCCAGTAAACACTCCCCCCAAGAACTTTTCCGATCGCCACAAGGGTCTGATTTCTCTCTTCTGTTCTCCACCTACTATTGCGGGCTATGGCCCCGTCCGGGATTTTTTTTTTCTCTTTTCTTTTTTCCCTCTCCCCGTCCCTCTCAGCTTTCCATGATTGCATTTTACTTTTTTCTTTCAATCTTCTCGTACAGAAGCCTGCTCCCGGATGTCCCGCTTATAGGTTAAGTCTACCAGATTCGAATAAACCTTTCCCAGTTGTAGAACTGCCCGATGCATGAAAACGAGCTCGTATGGCATGTAATCAAATATCCGCGATTATGCGCAAATGCGTTTGCACACGTAAAGGCGTGTCGTTCATGAGACTTGCGCAGTTTGACTCAGTCAAGGCGTGCTATCATCTCTTCCTTCGTAAGAGGTTTGAAATTGTTGATGTCTAACCCGCGGGCCTCAAGTGCTGGGCGTGCATGAGGGGGGACCAGCCTATTATTCATCGCGGGCGCGATAGAAAGTTCTAAGACGGTATCGCGGTTAGCGCCAATAATATATCGAGGAGGCGGGAGAAAAAAAAAAGAAGCAAGTGGAATAAGAGAGAGATGGTAGACCGACCATGCCTGGAGAAATCGAAAAGGTGAGGGAGTTCCCTTGAGGAACCGTTAGGGTGCCGTGAATCAGGCAACCGGGTGTTAGGATCCCGAAGTTCATCGAAGAATGGATGACACATCGCTTCGATAGCCGAGAGACGTTGTGTCGGTGTGTATTCTAGGAGAGCCGAGATCAGATCGATGGCCTCATGGGGGGCCCTCCGGAAAACCTGGCAGCGAATTAGTATTATAAGCAAATGAGTGCCACAGTTGGGAAACACGCACTTTATTGAAGGGGTGTGGCTTGATCTGTGGGAATTTATGCTCCATATAGTTCGGGTTCATAGTGCGTATCTGTTCCCGCGTGGGAGTGCCCAGAACTTTGATGATCTCCACGAGCTGATCAATTCCCGATTCTCCAGGAAAGAGCGGTTGTCCTAGCATCAACTCGGCCATGACACAACCAGTGGACCATACATCTGATATTGATTAGTGCACATCCAAAGTCGCTGGAGTTGAATTGAGGAATTACCAATTTTCGTGGTGTAGTTCGTCGCGCCGAAGATCAACTCAGGTGCGCGGTAGTAGCGGGAGCAGATGTACGAAACATTGGGCTCATTCTCGACGAGAATTTTAGCAGAACCGAAGTCGCACAGCTTCAAGATGCCAGTGTTCGGATCGAGCAAAAGGTTCTGTGGTTTTATATCACGATGGCAGATGCCCTGCGAATGGATGTACGCCAGGGAACGGAATAGTTGGTAAATGTAAAGTTTCACTTCCAGCATCGGCATGGTCGTCTTCAACTTGTTGAAATACCGCGAAGCTCGATAAACAGTCTCTGGTACGTATTCGAGGACGAGGTTCAGATACACTTCGTCTTTCTAAAATACCCACAGCATGGTTAGCAGAGAAAGCGATGTGGGTGATAGGCAAGGCAGCCGTAAGAACACGAGATGAACCAAGGAAGCGAAGAGAAATAACAGGGAGAACAAAAGCAACATACTCTTTCACCGTTAGAGTAGTAGAAAGCCTTCAGCTCTACAATGTTCGGGTGGCGCACGATCCGCATGATCTGGAGCTCACGGTTCTGGAGCAGTGTTAGCGACCGAGTGGGCAGGACGAGTAGGGAGGGGCCCGGTCGAGCACCGGTGACAGTTACATACTTTGAACCGTTTATCTTGCAGGACCCGTTTGATAGCAGCATCTTCGTTGCTAGGCATCATCTTCGTTTGGAAGACGACACCAAACGATCCATTGCCCACAATTTTACATTGTGAGTAGGAGATTTCCTTGGTTTCCCCTGTAAGCCCATCCTGGACTTTCTCGCGGACGACTTCTGCTTAATCGCAAACGACAGGAAAATATCAGCAAGCGACTCCCGTAAAGGTGCTCCAACGACAATTGCGTCGTCGTCAAGGTCGGTGCTTACCACCCATGCGCAGACTCGAGAACACCCCAGGCCTATTCTGTGACATCACGGACGGCTAGTGGAGACGACAACGGGCGGCAACTTGGGGCAATGCTATCGAGAAAAGGGAGGAGTGAACTTCAACAGCGGAGGGCGGAAAGAGTCGCAGACGCAAGGCGTGAGGTCCGTTTTGGGCAGACTGTAACCAGTGGAGCACTAGTTGGGAGGGGTGCTCTGGATGGGCGGAATATCCGAACGGTGGATGTTGAGTGGAGGTGCGCGTGAGATGAAAGGTTGAGAAGCGGACGGGCGAATCGCAGACGGGAAGGCTCAGACCAAGGACCAATGGACTTGGAGAGAGTGCCAAGAGTGCAGACACAAGACCTGAGCAGGGAACGCCCCAAAGACCGAAGCGGGTTCGCAGAGGGCAGGCAGTCCTTCCAAAAGAGAGAAGGTAGGGGAGAGGGAGAAGGGAAAAAAGCAGTGGCAGCAGGAGGCGAGGAAGGAGAAAAGAGAAAAACAGCAACCGGTTCGAGGATAGGTTGCGTGTATGGATTTCGCGCCTCACCAGTGTGGCAGGAGAAATTCAAGGAAGGGCGGGTAAGGTAGGTAGGTAGGAAGAGAGAGAAGCACGGGTGCTCAAAGGGGAGGGATGGTCGGTCGGAGGAGGGAAGAGAGGAGAGACTGAGCAGGTGACGTTGATGGAGCGACGAAGCCCGAACACGCGAGGGCTGCAGGAACGCGGGAATAAAGCACCGGGAGGAGAGGAAGAAGGTAAGGAACACACGAGCCAACTCCGGGCAAATAAGAAATATCAGTAAGAATGGCAATGGCAGTAGCAACTAGGGAGGAGGGTGGAAATGGGTTGGAGAGGAGGGAGGGGGGGGGGAGGAGGGGAAAAGGAAATAATTGAAAAAAGGGCAAGGGAAATAAGATAGATGAATCAGGAGTAAGTACACGGGAGCTCAGAGGGAATAACGATGCCAAAAGGAGGGAATTACTAGCACCAGATCGAAAATAAGCCTGCCTCAATATCTGGTTGTACTCTGTTGGTTAGGCCCCAGAAACTAAGTACATACTACGGAGTAGAGGGCAACGTTTGGGTTTGGTTTTTGGGGGGGAGGAGGGGGCAGCGGGAGCGGTTTACCCCGGCAGTACTAGGTAAGTTTACCTACCTCTGTAGAGATGGTATTCCGTACCTAAGCAGTGTACCCATCTAGCAGCAGAGGCAACAGAATAGTGGATGATGAGGGTTGGGATTACCGTGATTGCTGTTTATGGCTTCCGGCATATGTTGAACCGTCTTTGCACCAAAGTGTTGCTTCCCATAATAGTAACAATGCCTCATGGATTTCAATAACCCCGAGGTAAGTGAGGTATACTTCTAGATGTCCCTCATGCCAATCTACAATACTTGCGACTTCCCCTCCTCCCTCTCTCTCTCTGTGTGTGTATTATAATAACTATTGATATTCCTTCCGACACAGTACTATACTATTACCAGCACCAGTACCCAGTACTACGGCAGGTAGTAGTGAGCATTAACCGCAAGTGAGAGAAGGGGGCAGGCAGGAGCGGAAAAATGAAAATTTGCAAGGATAATAGTACCCAGAAAGAGAGGGGCGTACTCCGTAGGTAGTACGACTATACCTTTCTACATGGTACTAAGGGTGTCTGTATAGCGACGTACGGGTACATACAATACCATACACCATTTGGTGACTTCATAATACCCAGTAGTACTATGACGCCATTGCCCTTACCGGAAGGAAGCAAGGTATCACTAGTTAGTACCCCGTACTACTAACTATTCTATCCATGGCTTTGGATGATGCCACTAGGATATGTCACTATGTACTGTATACCTACCAGTAGTTAGAAGTTCTCCATGCTGGACAGTACTATTTCATCTCCCCGGGAGACTCTCATCAGGTGATGCGTATGGAATATATCTAAGCATGTATATCTCACCACAAGAACAACGAAAAGCTGCCCTCGGGTACTTTTTGTGGGTGACTCGTTTCCCTGTCAATCCATCTACTTACATCGCACGTATACAAGCAAGTGCAAGAATACACTAACAATAACTCAACATCAACATCGCTAGTTCATGATCTAAGTATGTCACATTAAATCGTACCTGGATATCCCGTGGATAGTTGAGTGTGGAATAATACGGAGTAGATCAGTAGTTGACGGACCTGAGGTGGAACCATTTAGATTGGGCGTGAGGCAGGCGTAGCTGCCGGAACCATGAGAAACCGACGGCCCATTCTTAATGGGCAGATGACCATGGTCCCGAGCGCTTGGGTTGACAATACTACTAAGTGCTCTCCGTAATAGGAATAGATATGGTGCGGCGCTCGAGTACCAATTGTCAAATTTGTAATCTCGGTACCCTTCCTTGGATAATGAAGTTTCTTCGCTGCGCAAAGCACAAAGTTCGGGGCAATTCTCTTGATTCCTGGCATTCCTAGCATCAAATTCTGAGGGCTAGAGCGGACAACTCGACTCTGCCCTTCCTGGAAAGTTGGTCGTGAAGTTTTCGGAAATGATAAAAATTGCGTACTGCCACCATTATTAAGGCTCTACATTCCGCACGCCTTTGCTTCAGAAAGTAGGGAGTATTAACGCTGAACTACCCACGGTCCATATATAGTCCACCTGCCTACTAGGTACCTTGGCTCTTTCTCTTCATATATGTCCAATCATCTCGGTGGCCCTCCTGCTCTTGGTGTGGTTGTTCCGGGCCTTCCCTCTCTGCTTCAGTAAAACAGACACAGTCGACAGCTACAAAGTGCCTGCGGGTGAACCAAAAGGAGGGCCACAGGAAGGTGCCTGGATCACTAGATACTAGCACCATGTCATAGCCCGAAGAAGAATCCAAACCGTTACTCCTACCTACACCTAAGGTACACTACTAGGAGTTCTGGTGACAGCCCTGGCAGGGAAGCTCTGCCATGATGTCTCGCCATTGGCTCCTGGGTGTCAAGTGACCAGCCGTGGTTTTCACTGGAAGCTCTTTCATTGGCCACCCTTACTAGCCACCTGCCATCGTTCAAGTATTGTAAATACTGTATGTAATTGACACACAGCCTATCCGCCGTCGGATGGTATCGCCCATACGTGCCTGGATTCGATCGCCGCATATTTGACCGGGATCTAGACTTCAATGAAATTGGATGGGCTTTTCACCAAAGTTCGATGCAGACGTAGGTCAGATTGAAGTTAGTACTAGCCACCTGAAGCTGATGCTCACGATTGTAGCTCGAAGGGCCAGTCGTAAGTACATTATCTGCCAGGTGGTAGTAGTAGGCAGGGTACTTTGGCCGGGAAAAGGCTCGAAAAGGTTAGCCATCATGTCCAACAACCACAGTTATCTAGCCGGCTATCATGATCCAAAGAGAGCCGCTGATCCTGGCAACAATGGAGTTCGGTGTCTGAGATAGAGTGTGGTATATGAGTTTATGTTGAGGGGACACAGCATCCGGCAAGGCCTAGTACTAGGTAAAATGAAAGACCTTGTCTACCCATTCTCATCTACTGAGCACTAGGTAGTGCGTACGTTAAATTAAGACAGCAGACAATGCCGCGCCCACGTGTATAGATAAATGATTTAACATTCTGACGCGGTCCGTGTTCTGGCTAATTCATATCCATTGTCCTTAATAATCTGCAAATTCGTTGCAGAGTACGGGCATATACGAGTGTATTGCTGATACCCGTCTCCATATAAAGAAGTGAGTAGCAGGCAGTGCCTTTAAGGGTGAATATCCCCGACACCTTTGTCCGCATTCAAGAGTGCGAAAAAAAAAAACCTCCCATGTAAGCTTACTTATGCAACCGCATGGGCATGATGCTTAGCCCAACAAACTCTAGTTTGGTTACAAATTTGCGTAACCCGGTCGAGCTATCTACCATCAAGGGACATGCCGCAAATTTACATCATGGTTGGAAAAGAAGGTCACAAGTCTCGTCTCGGGTCAACCCCACAATGGCTAGGGTAAGCGCATGGTGCTAACAGGAACGGCTACATAGTACATACCATACTCCGTGCTAAGGACGGGCCATGGTATCTGAATAGTAGGTACTATCTATCTATGTAAGTGGCTGGGCCACTGGTGAGAGAGGTCGGACTTCTTTATTTAGTAACAAGGATCTATGCAGTAGCAGCTGGTCCGTTCAAAAAGAGACGGGTCATGTGAGGCCCAGCATCCAAGGTGAATTCCCATCTATCTGGACTTGGCAGGTATGGGTCTCGACCAAACTTCTCATGTAGAGGTACGCCGTACTCTGTATAATCTTCCCTATCTCTGTTTGATTTTCTAATTGAACTTCTTCTCACCATGCTCCCATCTTTTGTGTATCTGTTTCTAGCCAGTCTGTTTGTTGTTTATTTCACGACAGGGAAATCACAGACGTCGCGCATAATCAAGGCAGCCGGCTCCATGGCGAGGATGCAGATGCAAGTCCTATTCGAAGACTACTATAGATCAACTGGAAACCCTGAGTTTACTCAAGCATCGCGTACGACAGAACCCAGACCTATCATCCACTTCATTGGCCACTATCGACGTCAGTTGCGGCAAAGCGTTGACATACCAAGATGAGACAAGGGAGGCTGGGCAGGTCCAACGCTTGATGGCGTTGACTTGAACGGCTGTAAAATCAGCCCAAAGTATCGTCAAATCAGAGGGCGGGCTAGGACAATAACATCAACTCGAGAAAGAGTACTCCGTACGAGTCTAACCTTCACATGATTAAGCAAAATAAGCACATTCGCCCACGTTCTTTGGAGTATGTTAAGGATGACAAGAATGATTTGGAAGTCAGGTACGAAGTGCCTCAAGGAAAGCATTTCCTTTTCATATAGGGAGAAGCTGTGTACCCATTGTACCCATTGAACTTTGCTCAACATATACAACTAATGCCATAGCAGGTACAGAGTACCTAGTATCTATTACCTGCTTAGCTGGACATTGATTGTATGAATTCTTCTGACGTATTTTTAGACGTTCTGCATGAAATACAAATACATTACCAGGAATTCATATTAACAGTATCATATCAATTGCCCCACCTCTAGTCCAGGGTACTACTGCTAGGCCTGACTGATGCACATAACTCCAATGTACCGATGTCTATGTGTGCCTCTGGAGAGGAGAAGCGGTTGAGTTTGGTCCGAGCAAGCCTCTCAGAGTGCATGCGTCCTAGAGGATGCCGTGTGGGATTCGCAGTGTTGGAAAATTGGCCACAAGAACGTGGAAAGGCCTTCTGCTCTTTTTCTTTTCTCTCTCGTCATGTTTACAAGGAACTCCGAATACTGTACAGATAAGTATACTTCTTGCCGCACTGGAACTTATCTAGTAGTGTGTATATAGTAGAGGACAATGAATATGAATGAATGAACGAGTACCTTACTATGTCGTAGTCGTATGTAGTAGCTGGCCTAGAGATTCTGCATATGCACCGTAGGCCCTTCCGAGTTCTGACCGGGGCTCAGAATGTTAGGTAAGGTAGATAGATAGTCAATGACTTGATGTTCCGTGGCTCTCATAATTTTCAGAGTTTGAACCGGTCGGCAGTCAGGTCAGGTATGCTGCTTGGTTCTGCGGATCGCCGGGGCCACACAAGCGTCAGCAGACTGGCCCGTTTGGTCACCTTTCCCGAGCTTTCTCTCAGGTGACTGCCGCCTGCATGACACCAACAAGGACGGGAGTACCGTACGTATTAGTCCGTCCTTCGGTGTGCGTTCTTGTTCTTCTTGTACGGAGTACTTACATACCCGGTAGAATGGAAGTTCGTTGGGAACAGGGTTCAGGGCAAAACAGCAGCAGATTCTGGTCGAAGATAAGATCACCTAGCGCTGTGCTATTCTCCAGCTGGAAAGGAAGGATCCGAACCAATGCTATCGGCTATCTAGATCTACTGTATCTAGGTACCTGTCTACCTGTCTACCTGTCTACCTGTCTACCTACCTATCTACCTGGATCCGCTTGAAACAGGCTCCCAAACTTTCCAGGCTGGCCTCGGCCGAGCAGATATCATTGTTGATGCCGTAGGCCAGATGCTCGACTGGTACTTAGATAGGTAGGTCCCCCTCCCTTCCCCGAAAAGAAAAAAGAAAATCAAGAGGAAAGAACAATGGCAATTATAAAGTCATTCGCATACTAATACCCTTTTTTCTGACTCTGTTTCGACGATGGGGGCGTGGTTCGACTGCCCAAATATGGCCCTGTCCTCGTGATAGTGCATCTCTTGTAGGCGGAAATCCCCTGTTTCGAGATTGAATTAAAAGTGGGCTAGTAGTATCGATGCTTTTCAACGTTTCAGCCATCAGATACTGATCACGTTGCACTCCAAGTCCCAAGCCTTGTCTCACGGAGAATCGATTCTGCGTCACCCTACCTCTACAGTCACGACGTAAACAGTTGCAGGACGAACGGTTGATACACCGCAGGACTGATCGGCAAGAGACTTCCCAATCCTCTCAATAGATATCTACGGAGCACAAGGTGCAGTAGTATTCATGTCGTGCCAGGACTTCATTATTTACTGTTGGCAGTGGCCGCTCCAGGACACGTGACCGCGCCTCCTACTTCAGGTGCCGGGATCTCTGATCTCTGTTCTTTAAATTAACTTATTATTTTTTATTATCTTATATAATTGCTTTCTATATCTCTATAAGATTATAATCCCGGCGGCTTGTTATTTAAAAAAGATCTAGTAATTTCTAAATATTTTATAAGTATTTTTTATTATTATAAGATATTTTAAATATATTATTTTGCAGATTTTCTTAAGTTCTCTGTTTAATTCTTTAATATATTAATATAATATATTATTATTCTATAATAACAGAGATAGGCCTGAAGAGCTATTTTTATTAATATTAATAAATATATTTTTAAATAATCTGATTTATTATTTATTAACTCTAGATTTTATATTCTTAATATTTTAATTATTTTAAATATAATTAATAATACTGATAATATAATTTTATCTTTTATAACTAATTAAATATATTAAAAGAAATACTTATTTAAATTTATATCTTTAATTATAATTAGCAGTCTTTAGATTATTCTTAATAATATAATTATATATAAGAATTAAATCTAATAGATCTAATAGAAACTAATTATTATTAATTATAAATAATTTATTAATTTTAATATATCTTAATCTATTCAGAACTCTGAATATTATTATTAATAATAAAATTAATTTAAACAGATAGTTATATAATTATTAAGTCAGATATTAAATAATCTATAAAAAAAATTATAAAATTCTAATCTTTTTATTAAATATATAAATAATATATAGACTATTATATATAATATTATAATTAATAATAATAAGCTATAGATTATAAATATAATTAATAATTTTATTATTTTAAAAAGAGCTTAATATTTATTAATTCCGGATTTTATTATTATATATTATAAGATATATAATTATATTATATATCTTAATATTATATTTTTTCTTTATATTTCTGTAATTATACTACTATATAAGCTTAAGAATAATATATTACTTTAATATATTATTTAGAGACTAAAAATAAATAAGATTAAACCGAAGATATATATTAAATAATAATTTAATTATTTTTATACTAAAACTATAGAAAAAATAATTATTATAATCTTTTTAATTTTTATAATCTTAACTATTTTAATTATTTTATATATAAAGATATCTAAGTCTAAGATATCTGATTTAAAGAAGAAGAATAATAATATTAATATAAAGTTAATATTAAAAAGCAGATAGTAAAGATAATCTTTAAAAGATATAATAAACTATAATTATTAATAATATTAATTAAAGTATTCTAATAGTTAGATAGATAGTAAATATATATATTATAGAATTTTAAATAATTATAAATTATATTTTTATTCTTACTTAATTTCAAAGCTGTAAGATTTAGATTAGATATCTAAATAAGATATTTAAGAATATTAATCTAAGAATAATAAGTAAACTGCTATATTAAATTAGTTTATTTTATATAAAAATTTTTTAAAACAGTCTAATATCTCTGCAGTAATATTAGATAATAATAATTTTTATTATTTAATATAATATACTATATTAAATTCTATAAAAAAAATAATAAAAAAAAGTAGATATTAAAATATCTGTTTTTCTTTTAGTTTCTTTATACTAAGATAGACAAAGATATTAATAATATTATTATATCTATCTAATCTATAATTCTTGATATAAAAATCTTAGATATAAAAAATTAATAAATTTAAGATTCAGAAGCTAATTATTATATTATCTCTGATTATAATTATTTTATTAATTATATTCTCTATTAATTAAATAAGATTTTATATTAATTTAATATTTTTAATAGTACAGCAGATTATATTCTAAATTATAATATAATTTTTCTTTATTTTAATAATAATTATAAAGAATAGATAAAGATATATAATATTATATATTATTATTCAGATATAAATTTTAGAATCTTTAATAAAATCTTGATTTATAAAATATATAATATATAGAATTATTCTAATATTATTATTTAAAGTATCAGAATTCAGAAAATTATTAATAAAATTTATAAAAAATATAGAGTTTTATTTATTAAGTTAAACAGATATAAGAATTTAAAAATTATATTAATTATAATACTTAATCTAATATTACTATATTAATAACTAAAATATATAAATATTCTTAAGTTAAAAATTATTATAATAGTTAATTAACTTAAGATTAATAATTCTATATAATCTAATTATAAATTATATTTATTAATAAAGTCTAAGCAAGTTATTAGCCAAGATTTAATTATTATAGATATAAATCTCTTAATATTATAAACTACTAACACCCAGTTAATAAAGCTAATAAAATATAATAAATATTATATATATTTAATTATAGTTAATCCTGCTACTTAATAATTTAAAGTTTATTTTTTAAAAATTAAGAATATAGATACTAAACTAAAGTATTTTATTAAAAAATATAAAATACTGACTAATAAATAAATATAATACTAATATCTTAATAAAGATACTGAGTTTAATTTTTTTACTAAATAAATTAGAAACTAATTAATATATATTATTTTAATACTATATTATATATCTGAGACTAATAAATCTTTGGAATAATATAAAGATTATTTTAATTAAATAATTTATATAATAATTATTAATAATAATCTATCTAAGAATATATAATTTTTTATAATTAATACTGTTAATCTGATTATTAATTAATTAATTTATTTAAATAATAAGATTAATAAGTCTCTGCTATAGAAATAGTATAAATATTATAAATTATCTAATTTAAAGTCTATTCTTAATTTTCTGTATATTTTTAAATATTAGATATATATTTATTTATCTAAGAAGATATATATATAGACAAGAAAAATATTTTTAAGAATAATTAAAAAATACTTAATTAAATATAAGAAAAAATATAATTATATATTAAAAATTTAAAGTCCTTTGAATTATAAGATCTATTAATTATATTATATTAAACTATATAAAACAAAGATATATTATAATAATAAAAATAATCCAAATTCTGATATAGAAATCTTTATAAAATATTAATTATAATTTATTAGATCTATAAAGAATAATTCTAATTATTATATTATTTTATTATTTATAACTAAATATAAAATAATTATTAAGAGTTTTTAGATAAAAGATTTATTACTAATATATAAAAGAGTTTAAATAATCTCTTAATTATCTTTAGAATTATATTTTATTTAATTAATTATATTCTATCTAAAAGATTCTTGATAAGCTAAAAAAAATAATAATATTATTTAATTTTTTATTAAACTTAATATTATTTAATCTTCTATCAGACTTATTCTTTTCTCTATTTATAAAAATATTAAAAAATAAAAAAATATCTTTATAACTCTTCTTAATAATTTTGCTGATTATAATATTAATAAAGATTAATTATAATAAATTCTAATAAGAATTATTATAGTCTAAGATTTCTTAATATCTCAGAAAATATATCTATTTTATAATATTAATTAAATTACTATTAGATATTCTTATTTTAATAATAATATTATTCTGTAATCAAAGAGAGTATATAATTTTTAATTAAAAAAAATACTTAGAATAAGTATATAAGTGTGATAGGATCTACTTGTCAGGGTAGAAAGCCTGTCGACTAGGTAAGGAATCAACCATGAAACACCGTGTATTCGTTTGATAATGACAAAGGTAGCCTATATCCACGAGATAGACTGATCCTTGAAGGATCAGTAGCTCCTTACAGAGGGATCGGCACCTTATAGGTGCCGGAGAGGTGTAGAACCACTATTGATGACCTCACGACTCTCACAACCACTATAACACGTCATCCCGATGACACGACTCTCACAACTACTATAATACGTCATCCCGATGACCTTTATCCCGATAGCTGGTTTATTCTATCACAAATGGCGCCCTCCTCCGCTGGGACGAGCCACCTGGCTCGGGTGTTGGGGATAGCCTCATGTGTTCCCGATTCGGAACGGTGGGGATCCGATAGCGAAAGGTGGGGAACTCGCGGGGTACACAGTATGAACAGGGTCACGTGCCGTTTCTGTATAGCTTCATGAGTGTTTAGTTGTGTTTGCATGGGTGGATCCCCTGCGAAGAAGTGTAAACAAAAGAATCTCTCGTGTTGTGTTTGCATGGGTGGATCCCCTGCGAAGAAGTGTAAATAAAAGAATCTCTCGTGTTACTTCTCTTCCTCCTCCTCTTCTACTTCGTGGTCGTCGTTCCTTTAGTGGTTTGTGATCGTTCCCTTTACATTTCTTCGTCGTTTCGCGTGATCTTCGTCGTTTCCATCTATACTGCATCGCTGTCATCCCCTTCTTCGTCGTCTAGCTCAGGCATCGGGAGCGGTTCTTCATGATCTCTTCCAGTGTTCCACGGTTCCAACAAGGAGACATGGAATACATTGTGGATTCGTCCATATTTCTCAGGTAAACATAACCGATACGCCTGAGATCCGATGCGTTTAAGGATCCGAAAGGGTCCTATGAACTTCGGAGCCAGCTTTCTCGGTTCTTTGAGTCGTAAGTTCTGAGTCGATAGCTTAACTAGATCCCTTTCTTTGAAGTAGAATGGCTTTCTGCGCTTATCATGGTGTTTCTTTTGCTTTTCTGTAGCCATTCGCCATGTCTTTTGTAGCTGTTCTCTCGTTTCTCTAAGTTTCTCGATCCTATCCTGTACCGCTGGGACT